ATATAAGTGAGAATCACTGTTTTAAGACTCTCCAAAGAAAAGAGCAAATTCACAAGCTGCTCTGGTACTAACTGAATTATGGCTCCGAAAGAGTGAACCATAAAAAAGTGTGCAAGGTCGTGCGACCCTTCGTACTACGAAGTCGCCCGACCACTCCTGCGCACTTATAACTGGATTCTTTCGGGATAGAACCAAATTCTATAAATAGTTAGGTTTTTTTGTACGTGGCACCCTACTCAACCGTCGAGGCAATCTTATTCCAGTCTTCCTCGATGCTGCTTCACGATACTCACGAACCGAATACGGAAATAAAATGTATTTCGCAATTTGCAAAAAATAAAATTTGCAAAATAGTCGCCACTTTTGCTAATTAATGTAAAATAAGTAGTGCAAAATATAATAAAATCATGGCACAAACAAATAATCGATCCCGAATGCAAGATACATCGTCTGGAAATTCAGTTAGTCTTTTCCCTCGAATTTTCTCCGGACGTATTCTCGTGATAAAAATAATTGTCAAATATATTCGAGACACCGTATTAGATTAATCGCGCGGCGTCGCATGAGGATCACTGTCCTAGAGGTATCAAAATGGAGGAGAGGACGCCGTCGAAGCCTTCGGGGCAGTATGGGCTCCTTCGATCGTCTCGGGCCGAGACTATTCGCGAAGCTAAAACCGAGAGTTCCGTACACACAGAAAAAGGAGAAGAAGCGAGGCGCATGATGGTGACGAAGGGGCACTGTCGTGAACACAAGGGAGGGAGGGCGGAGTAGAAGACAGGGCGGAAAAAAGGACGAGAAGTGATGCGAGAGAAGAGAAAAGGAAAGAAGGGCCTTACATAGCGATTGCTGGCATGGGCCTGAAATAGACCTCGGCAAGAATCCCCCTGTGGCATCCTCCCCCTCGGCCCTCCCGCCCCATCGCCCTCTTCCTCTTCGTCGCGCGGCCGACGATGGTCGCTGCTGGCCGCCGTTGGCCGTCGCTGGCCGCCGCGGCGAACCCCCGTCTTTGCTTTTGTTTCAGCAAAAAAAGACCAAGTCCCTTGGCGCGCGGTTGTGAGAAGTTGTTCCTAGCGTCTCCCTCGCGTGGAGCGAATCAAGCGAAAGAAGAAGAAGAAGAAGGGAGGAGGAGGAGGAGAAGAAGAAGAAGAAGAAGACGAAGAAGAAAACGAAGTGAGAGAGGAAGGTGGTGGTGCGGGAGAACGGAAGGACGAAGAGGCCACGACGACGGCGATGGTGGTGCTGCAGGATCGCTTGTTTATCCAGCGCACCGAGCTTCTGCCTTCGTCTCACCCTCCGCCGCCTAGAGAGAGGTTTCGCGAAGAGAGAACCCCGTAAGCATCGGGCCTAAGTGCACTCGAACGGACGCGATGCATTCCCACGGGAGTACCACGATGGGAACGCAACCTGTTAAACTGACCTACACCAAGGCATCGGTGGAACGTGACTTACACCGCGAGGTACCACCGCTCGGGTATTCACGTCGCGCGCAACTCGGTACGCGGAGAAATCTAAGGAAGCCGAATTTTCTATCCCGCCTGAGTTTTGCAATTGTTAAGCCAATTAATTGCATGCTCTGTTCTGCTGTTAAAAAATATGTCACGATAATATGAGACTGGTGAATCTTTGATACTTTGATCGCCGTAGTTTTTTTTTTTTTTTTAGAAACATCTTCTCCCACGAAAAGCCGAGAAAATTAATGACAAATTACCATTTTACACTGTTACGTGCATTCAATAAAATAGCCGCGACACGACAACCGCAAAATGCACCTCACCGCCGTGCACGTCCTGCGGATTCATCTACATTCTCGGATCGCATCCGCCAAGGAAACAGGCTACTCTGTCATTAAAGCTCGTGGCGCCGCGTCCTCCCGTGCAAGAGCCGCGGAGAACGGACGGATGCTGCGCGCAGTTAGAGAGACGATTTCCGTAGTGCGGTAGGTCTTGGATGTCACGCGAGGCCCTTTTTGCTCACGATCGCCCGCACAGCGAGCCGCGTACCCAGAAATAACACATTGCTTCTCGTTTCTGATCATTGATCCGGTGGTTTCCGCCACCGGCCATCTCGCCAGAGAGGCAGAGAGAGAAAGAGAGAGAGAGAATACCGTATATGGAGATGAGGGGGGAAAAATAAAAAAGGGAGAAGAACGCGCTTCTCTTCGGCATTTTCTGGGCCTCTCGTACCGGTTCCCATATCGTAATCGCGCGCCAAGAAAGAGAGAGAGAAAAGCCGATTGCGCGCGGTATTCCGAGAGCAGGTGGATCGATCTCTCGGACGGGAACACATGGTCAGAAATGAAGCCTACCTTGAGACATGGGCCTTTTTGCATTATCGATACAGACCTGCGCCGATATGTTCAATACCGGTGTTGCAGTCTCATTCGTTCGACATACATCGCGATGTTCGCTATTAATAACTCTCGCTCCCGAACGAAAGATATTTGCAATAAATCGTGACGAAAGAAATAAGACATTTCGAATTATTTGGTTTCTCCTTATTTTTTTCTCGCGATAAAAATCCTCCGTCGCGAGCGTATGCCATCGTGCAAGAATGCACGATGAATAAACACCATACGTTGAAGCGCAAAAAGAGGAGTCTCGTGCGCATTTTTTGCGTTTCCAGTATGTCATCTCCCTCAGGCATCTCTCTAATAAAAGAGTCAATGCGCGCGGCGCCACAAACCGGTAGAGGATCGGCTGATGGGGTAGAAAATAGACGCAGGAAATTCACGAGCGGACAACACTTTTCTTTACTACGTAGCCAGCGAGCCGAGATAAGCGGACTCCTAATAAAGAGGAGACAGTCTTATGTCCGCGCGGAACGCGGAGAACCCCATCGCATCGATGTAATTTTATCGTTTACGCGAATTTTCATCGCTTAAGCGATAAAACAAAATTTCAACTACCGAGAAAACGTCTTGGCGTTGTATGAGAAAAATCTAACACGGCGCCCGGAATAAAATATCGCTGTCTCGCGTGCATTAAGATTACGGAATATCACGAACAGCCCGAGATGATGGCTCGCTGATCCGATTCGCCTGGCGAAACGATCGACATCGTATGCGAATAGGGGCGGGATACTCAAGGAATGCGATTAATGCGCCCCGTCCACGATCGACGACGACGACGCACCGATAAGATCTCGCATCATTAATCACGCGATAGCTTAATTGAGACGCGCCCGGTAGCCTTCGCACGCGCCGCACCGCGACATCGGCGAAGCGTGCGGCGGTGCTCGCGAACTCGAGCCGATGAACCAGAATTCCATCGGATCTTGCGGGAAGATACGGCCGCGCTTGAGCGCGAGAGATGACGATGCGCTTCGAAAGAAATTGAGCGCGGAAAGAAGCGCTTTAAGAATAGACGGCGCCAAAGGCCGCGAGGAAGAGAACCGGTTGAAGCTCTCGCGGCGGAGAACTTCCAAGCCAAGGGAATGCACCGTCGCCCACTTCGCGATGGTGAACCATGTCGAGCGACGTATATAACCTTTCCGAGATAACGCGTAATTCTGTTAAGTGCGATTTATGCGCGTCGTTAGAGAAACCGATGTTTCGTGTAAGCACCTGTATGAAGCTTAAACAAGTATTAACAACCAACCGAGTCACTTCGCTCGACACCCGATTGGTTCGGGTGTCGATAATCCACAAAGAACCGGTCTTTACGGCAAAAAGATGTAATTTACCAATTTTCTTTTCCGAGATGAACGATTTGTCGCAATTAGCGTCGGATTTGAACGCTTGCGCGCGCAAGCGTGTTGTTCCGCTGATGAATAAAACGAGGCGATTTTTAGGGATAGCTGATACCGGGGTTTACACGGGAAGGTGCATCCGAGGAGACGTTCAGAAATGAAGTCCGCCTTGAAGCCGGCGTCTTTTTACCGGCCGCCGTCGATACAAATCCACGGTGAACCGTGAAGATGCGGCAAAGTAAAATTCCGCATCGCGAGCGAAAGAACCGACGATGTCACGACGCGAGAGAGGATTTACGGTGTCGGGAACAAAGTGAGCAAGGGGTCCGCGCGCGCGCGGATATTATTAATGGGATTAACATAAACGCTACATTGATCGATACACGGATAACGACGTTCTTGCTATTACTCGCGCTTCCATTATTTCACGTCCGCGCGATATACGCCACTTATAAATGGATTATAGCTCTTCGCGCCGTGCAAACATTACTCATTCGACGACTTTGCTAGTTAATATAATTAGCCCTGTGTAATCATATGTTGCGCTAATTTACAATCGCGCCCGCGAGAGAATATATACGCGTGAACGTACATAATCCTACGACAAATGGTGCAAAACCTGCCGCGGCTTTTGTTGCAAAAATAATTATTTGCTCTAACGACCGATGATGAAGTCGAGATTTTGATCAGCTTATTACGATTTAAATTGAAAAACTACACGTTACTCAACATGTTTATCTGTCAAAATAAAATTATTTTCAAGTAGGGATTATCTAAATATTTAAATTGCAGAATGAAGATTGAAGATAGCGCGTGGAAGATCGGAAAAACATGTTTAAGAATACGTCTTTTCACCTGTCGACAGGGATTTCTGCCGTTAATTCTACGATCATCCAACACTACGTTAGCGCTACGAAAGGGAATGTCTTTTTAGATTCTAATATACATTCTCGATTTTGCACATCATCTTCGCGGTTGACCCGTGCCAAATCAAGCGTGGCGTTATCGATCGCAGGGCATGCCTCTACGTGATCCAGCGCCCATTGTGTCTCCTCTTTTCGACCTTGTCACCCGTGGTTTTTTTGCGGTGCGGCTCGATTACTTTTCGATTCGTCTCCACACTGTCGTCGTCGTCACCGCCGCCGCCGCCGCCGCCACCGCCGCCGCCGCCGCCGCCACCGTCCCTTTCGTGCGTTGTGCTCTTACTCTAGGTTAGCCAGTGAATCATCTTCAACGACCCCCTCCTCCGGGATCCGGGCAGAAGACTCTTAAGGGGGCCCACGGCGCAGCGCGAAGCCAGTCCGAGAACGCGACCCTAACACTAACATCCGGTGTACTCCGAGAGAGAGAGACGAGAGTCGGAAACGGAAACGACTGACTGCTTGATCGCCAGCGCAGTAATCGGCACGCTAACATGAAGATCGTCCTGTTGCTCTTCGTCGTCGCGGCCTTCGCCTCAGGTTAGTACCCTTTATACCGCGACACAATACCGGCTTGATCGTGCTCGCTTTAACACCCGTGGTAACGTCTTCATTATTATGAAATGATCGTTCTCTTGACTTCATCATAGGCACGTTGATACACTCTTCCGTTCGATCGTCAGTGTCTCCTACACAGCTTGCTGACCGTGCATTTAGATGTTGCGCGCAGTGTTATTCGTTACGTTTATAATATATTTTAGCATTAAAGTTTTTCAAAATTGAGAAAGAAATTAAGTCGTCAAAAATTGAGACAAACTCGAATTTTTTGATGATTGAGTCAATTGTTAAATCTTTGTCATGTTAAAAAAATACTAAAATATATTTAGAAATATATTTGAATAATTATAAATGTTTGATTGTTATATTTGAGATTTTTCATTTCTGAATTTTTTCTATTTCAACTTTTCCATGGGTTTCATATTTGTAATTTTCTTTCACTAAACATATTTCGAAATCTTCTTCTGTGTTGATCGACGTTTCCAGACGCGCGTTCTTTTCTCGATGTTTTCCAGACTCACAACGTTTCCTTTCATTAAAAAAACCCTTGCACCAACTGTGCATTCAAAGTTCCAGCCGGAAACAACCGATGGTAGATCACGCAAGCGACATAATGCATTCGACTCTTCGAATATATCACGTTCCCTTCTTCTTTAGAAAATTTTTACTTTTTCAGAATTATATCTTCAAACAAAACTTTGATATATATAAAAATATACTATTTTTAAATTGCAAGTATAAAATTATAATTTTGCATAAATAAACTTATTAAAATCCTTTTTTGATCTTTCTCATAATAAAAAATTATATTTACATTGTAGCACAGAGACTAAAATTTACACGGAATTTATAGGCAATTTTTATTTAAATCTCTGCAAGAGTGTTTAACATCCATGAAGATTTCGAATAACTTCGCGTGAAGGTATTCAAGGCTCGTTAATCGCGTCTTAAAAATAGGGAAGAGAGAGATTATACATGGAACATTTACCGAGACCGTTTGAGCGCCGACCGTGTATGAGAACTCGTTTTCTTGAGCCGGGCCTCGTCGAAAATCATTAACTGGGTACGCGTTACGTGAACGAAGCTTTAGTTAAAGCGACTAGTCGCTTCTTCTTTCGTGCGCGCACACCGGCGGCAGACGTCTCAAGGCCTTCGGGTCATTTACCACCACCTGCACGTCCAACTTCACGATCCGTAACGTTTTTGCTCCGGATGCGCTCTACGAAGTATCCAGAGCCGTGACTAGATTTTTGCACGGACCAGACGGATATCTTGTTCCGGTCTTGGCTCCTTCGTCCGCTGTACAACGACAAAATTCACCATGCGTGACTGACGTACATTCCTTCGAGAAGTTCAAATTGATTCACTTCGATTTCATCGAGCCCTTCAAGACGAATAAAAAAGTTTCCAACTTCTCGTCTCCATTTTTTTAATAAATAATAGTACACGACCTTCTCGTGTTAATTTTTCTTTACATCGCACTTTTTTTTCTATTGATCTTTATCTATTTGATTGTCTATTTGATCTTTTATAATCTATTGTTTATCTTTTACACTCATTTTTATAAATCTATTATCTATTTGATCATCTATTTGATCTTTTATAATTTTTTATCTCAATTTTTTAATCGATCATTAATCTTTCAAATTTCTTCATTGACGATGTGATGAACTTGTCTTCCTTTGTCCGCCGAAACCTTTAATTTTGTTTCATAACTCTCTTGCGTGTGAAGTTCACGAGACAGTTCGACTCATTCATCTCGGACACAGGTGTAATTATTGCGCGTCTGTAATCGCCGCTTGTTTTTTTTTTTTTTTTTCTTAAATTACATGTTCGAATTTGAACATAAGAAGTCAATTTCTCAGTTGCCAGTCATTGCAGTTGCACAAGCGCGGTACAGAAGAGAGAACAATTGAGACTAGAAACAATGAAAGGGGCTCGCATCAGTTGCGACACTCATCACCTAGGGGCTATTCGGGAGTCTCGGCGCGTCATATAATTCATAAGTACAGTTAACCAAATAGCCGTGACAGTTCAATGAACTCGCAACTCGATGTAACGTGTGAACACACACTGCCCTTCTCATAAAGCATCGAGTCATTGTGAAGCCGGCTAAAAACGCGTTGCGTCAAGATACGCATTTAGAGTGAAATTAAAATTGTGTTATGAAGCGGTCAGAGGGACAACGCTGATAATAAGTCGTTGCGCCTCTTATTGCGTGTCTTTATTGTTGTTGTATCGCATTTAATGCGATTTTCAGTAATTGTAAATTTTAATAATCATTTTTGAGTTGAAAGTCACGTATAATTATTATCGTATATAAATTAGTTAAAAATTTCTAAGTTGAAATAAACTCTCGATATCAGCGCTATCGTTTTTCCCATATTAAGAAACTCGAATCTGCATGCTACATCGATGGACGTTTTTATTAATCGTAACGGTTCTCGAGTATTGCGAGCTTCGCATCGCAATACTAAAATGAAATAGTAACTGCATTAGAATTCACAGAACGCATTTTCTCTACTGCCATTTGCAGTCTTGTCGGAACTCAATGACGTGTTCCGATAAACTGAAAAAGACTCTAAGAAAGTATCTTTAATAATATCAATTAAATTTTTTAAATATTATAAATAAAATCTATTAAGCGGAGAATTTGTAAAAATAATTAATTATAAAAATAAACGTTATTACGTAAAAAACTTGCTAAATTTTATTACATAATTAATATTCTTTTTTTAAAAGTATGCTATTGTGTTATTGCGTCATCGCAATATTATAATTTTTTCTGTGTATGTCAATAGCCAGGCACGTGCATCCTATATGCGTACAGTAGAATTATGCATCATGCATATCGTGAAAATTATATCAAGTGGTTTGTCCCAATTTCGCACGCGTGCTACAATTGAATGCATTCATGAGTGTAACGTTACCGCATCTCGAAATAAAACATGATGTAAACACAATGTTCGGCTTGAGAAAAAAATACGAAATATTTTATTTACAGGCCAGAGAATCACAACGATCCAGCTGGATGGCATACAGTACTTCGTATCGCGAATGAATCCCTACAGTCCGGAATTAAACTACTTCCTGGCGTATCAGTATTGCCGTTCGCTGGGCCTCCAACTCGCGTCTTTCGAAACGAAAGAGAAGGCCGACACGATGACGCAATATCTGAAGAACGCCGGTTACACAAAATACGATTTCTGGACCTCCGGCAACAAGCTAGGCACCGACATGTTTTTGTGGATGAGCACGGGACTGCCGTTTAACGTCACCTTCGACTACATGCTGAAGCGACCTGGCAACAGACCCGCCGACGTGCCGCCTGGCACTGAACCCCAAAGAGTTGCACGCGAAAGGTAATATCTTTAATCGTATTATCATATCAATCTCTGAATGTTATCTTTTTTTATTTAAAAATATGAGAATTAACAGAATTTAGAAGTTTTTTAAATATCTCATCAAAAAATATGTAGAATAAAATTTTATAAGAGAATGATTTCGTATTACTTCATACGACGTAAAAAATAAATCTTTATTTTATAAATTTTACTCTCATTAAAATTCTATAGTATCTGTTGAGAATTTACAAACATCTGACTGAAAATAATTAATTACGTACAATCTAAAAAAATAGTCTATTCGTTAGTAACATAATTATTTTTTACGAAAGATCGTGTAATAGTAAATCGTATTCAATCACAAACATTTTATCCATCGTTCTTTCCGTACTTCGATATCCGGAAATTGGTGCGTAGAATATCTAACGCACATTCTCGTTTAAATTCGAAAAAAAGCGAGTTTCTTGGTTTCAGCGGCGACAGCGGCAGCGCGGACGGATGCGTCGCGATGGTGGCACCTACGTTAGCCTGGGAGGCGCAGGACTGCACCATCGTGAAAGACTTTATCTGCGAGCAAACAAGATGCTACTACTACAACTACGGCAGTATTCCCGTCTCCGCGACTCAGGGGTAAGAGGTGAGATAATATTTGTCACAAAAATACACAATCCCGTCGAAAGGAAGGAGAGAGAAAGAGAAAAGGAGAGGGAAAGGAAGAGAAAAGGGAGAGTCCGGGGATACCGGTGTGCCCGAGGTGAATCTCGCTCGTGAATAAAAAATGAACGACTCGTCGGCGATAAGATATGCAAATGCATCGCGATAATCGAATGTTTTAATCCGCCGCGCTACTGAAATATGCGGGATGATAGCGATATGAAAATTTATTTATACGCGCGAACATATTGTATGTACGTTCGTAGGTATGTATATTCTGCCAGCGTACGTATATTCTTGACAGCGCCTGCAATCATAATCTCCAACTTAGAGATTAGAACCTGAGACTCTTCCCTTTTGCAGCGAATGCTGAAAATTTACGACGATGCAAAACGACGTACTTAATCGCACGTCGGCGGAGATAAGCTTTTTCCTCCGTGTAGTCGCGCGGGTGATAAGGGTAGCTTGAAACGAGAAGCGCTTTTCCTTCCGCAATTCGCGGTGAAACAGGAAGCGATTATTGCAACGATCTCGGCTTGCTGGTGTTAAACCAGCATCCTCTGAGATCTTCATCGCGCAGCTAATAGCTTTGGGATAAAAGTATCGATGGCTGGGAATAGCTCAGTCGCAATTCTACGCAAATGCCTTTGCAGCTTCTTCTTAATAACAATCACTCTCTCGCTTCTTGACGCACAGCACTCACAAACGACACTTCTTACACACACACGTGCAAAAAGTATGGCTTCACTCGATACTTTTAGATACTTTAAGACTTTTAGAAGGACTGTAAGAAGGATTACGTTCTATCATCAATAGTGAAGCTACGCTTTTGTCTGCTATTAATGTAGCGCGTAAGTTAAATCACTAACAATCTTAAATTAATTGAATTGTAAACTTAAGAGAGATAAATTTTCTCAATTGCCGCCGAAAGAGCGACGGCGACAATCATTCTCTGAGTCTTCCGTCCTTTCAGAAATCACAGGCCCTACATCACGACCACCTCGGCGCCAGCCAGCGACGACCAAGCGAGCGATCGCGAAACCGACAGCACCAACATCGACGATCATCCGGACATCGACGCCCGCACGAACGAGCAGGCGACATTACCGGAAGCGGACGCGGACGCGGACGCGCCCGCGGACGAAAAGTTATCAGAGGACCCGGTCGTCAGCAGGCTGATCACCACGGCCGCTCCCGCACCTGGCAATCAGCAGCAACATACGACGGCGCAGTTCGACGATGAACGCGAGAGCGAGCGCTCCGCCGTCGGCGACCTGGACGACACCAGACCGGAACACATTCCGGACCTGGCGAGTCTCTTCACCGAACACGCCGCCGCCGCAGCAGCGTCTCAAGCGCGCAAGGACAGCGTCTTCGACGGTCTCGAGACCCGCGAGATCCTGCGGCCGTCGGCGTCCCGTCCCGTCGTCTCCTCCTCCTCCTCGTCGGAGATGAGGATGGAGCATCGCGAGTCAGCCGATTACAGCGATCTGGCCGCGGAGACCGAGCTACCGAACAACGGCCTCGAGGACGCCCACACGATCGGGCCGTACGACAGCGTGCAGGACTACGTGAACGATCAGCCGGCGGATATCGCGTCGGCGGCGGACTCGGCGATGATGAAGGACCAGGACGACGATAGTAGCACGATCCTGCCAGAGGCGGAACCGGCCTACAGGTACAACATCAAAGTGCGCACCAACGGCAAAGTATTAGACCCTCCGTCCAAGTAACGCTTTACTTTCTCCTAGGCACCATCGCGTTATTTCGTTCATAAGTGACAGAAACACACGCACACACACATACACACAGATCGACACTTTTGAGGAATTAGGTATTATATAAATATATATGTATGTATATCATGAATGCGTTTCGCGTGGGTGACACGGCAGCGAATTGTCGCCGTCGCGCGGATTTTCCGACAGATCGCTGCCGTTGTCACTGTTCGCCGTTTTTCTTAGCTCTAATTTAAAGCGTACTCGACACAATGCTCGATAGTTTCGCATCAGAGAAGCACGATTACCAGCTTTCTCGGTCGGCGGCAGGCAGAGGACTTATTTCGGATTGTTCGAATCACTCAATGCTAAGTAACAGCAAATAGCAAATAGCAGCAAAAGTGATGTCAAAGACGTTAAAAAAAGAGCTGAGAGTATTAATTGAGAAGACGAATTTTTCTCCTGCCGACGTTACTCGACAAGCTACATTTTTCGCAAGGGCATTTATTCAGATTATTCAGTTTTCATTTTCACATGATGGTGCCGGCGGACGATCATTTTTATCACTTCATTAATTTTAATCTTGCTACTTTTAATTAATGCTCTTTTTCAGCATCAACATCAGAATTCAAAATAATCGAAAAAAAAAATAAAAATCGAAAAAAAATAATAAAATTGTGCATATCAGAGATCTGTCATCGGCGTTAAATTGCGAGTCCGTCAGTGTTTATATATTTCCATGCATAAGAAAATCATCATCATCATAGTTAACATATCAATACGTCTGCAAGACGAAGCGTTCGACAGCCGAACAGTTTCCGACATAATTTGATGAATGTTAAAGGGATCGCGAGCGTATCGGTCGCAACGTTTCGGTTATCCAGACGTATGATAATCGGCGTACGTAGTTTCATCAAACGTAAAATATTGCTCTCTTGCTGCTACGATAAGTCACTTCCATTAATTCTACGTACAACGGCGCGAATGTGCGACTTGTGTAACTAAACTTTAATAAAGGTACAAGTACAGTCTTATGATACAGATATGCCTTTATATTATTTCATTCTTGAAACGTTAGAAAAAAATTCCTGCTAGCGTGAGAAAATTTCTACCGTGACTTTGTCAATGAAAACTGCGAAAATATACAATTGTTAACTTACCAGCCGTTCACGACTCCCTCGATATTTAGCATAGGAACTATCTTGAACACATAATCGTCGCGAAGACTGCTGGCGTATTGGCTGTCGCCTAGGAGGGTTTCCATGGTTCCATGCATCACCCAAGAGGCATTGCTTTCACCGGGATGCACTCTGGACGTTAAGAAGATTATCTTTCGATCCTGAAAAAAAGACAAAAGCTTGAAACATCGACTACGACAATCGAACAATTTATTGTCATTGGATTTGTATATCCGGTAAACAAATTATTAACAATATTGGCTATCTGAGTATTTGAGAAAATTCTCACATGTATAGGATTATCCTTGGAATCTGGCGATGTGATGGTAAGCACAGGATTCTCATTGCCATTTAAGGTCTCACAAAGTGTCTCCGCGCGGAAGTATACGTTTGCCGTGGAGATCTTCCTCGTCCACTTCCAGATATTGGTCATCAGCTGGCTGTACGTGTAAGGAAAATGATACGCCAGATAGCAGACGTCGTAGACATGCGGAAACGTGACCGTGAAAGACGTCGTGAGGTACGTCTTTCCTCTTGCAGGTCGCTGATAGCAATTTCGATAATAACAAATGTCAACGCCGGTCCTCACCCAGCCCGGTCTGCCGTGCTGCGCTTCTATGACACTGAACAATATCGGCTTCATGCCGAAATTGAATTGCGAGTTCGCTTTCTCACAGTTGATGATGTTGAATGTGTACGGCGTATTCGCTTCCATGTTGGAGACCTCGAAATAAAACCATTGATGCCGGGAACCGCTGTTGACGTCCGGCGTCAGAATGAGATCGTACTCTCGCGCGTTTATCTGTATAACCAAGAGAAAAAGAAGACACGCAGGAGTTAATGACAAAATTTGACAAAAACAGATCTAATTGCAAGGAATTATTTATATAGCAGAAATAACGTGCAAATTATCGCGCCGAATCTTACGCAATATCTTACGAGCATAATCAATTACGTAAAGAGCGTGAGAGTAGCGCACCTACTGTACCTGAATAGCTTTCCTCAGATTTCCGCTTTCGAATCTAGACTCGAACTGCAGCTGCTTCGTGTCCAGGCAACGCTTCCCGGCCTTCTTCTCGTCGCAGTTACCAAGCAGTCGCTCATCGGCCGACGTTGCTCCCCGGCAAGCGGCGGAATTCGCGAGCGCGTCGAGATCGTAAACGACTTCCTGGATAGTTGCAGCCGCGTGGAGACCGCGCTCCACACAGGTCAGCAATTTGGCGCGGCAGATCTTTCTGTCCTTGGTGTTGAGCGGCTCGGCGCGCCCCGAACCGTCGCCGCCGATCAGGTCCGGATAGGCGACCTTGACAAAGCCGATAACGCTTCGCACTTTGCTCGCCACGGCGCAATACGTATGCCGATCCGCGATGTTTTCCGATACGTTTCGCAAGATCTTTAAATTGTGCCTGTCGTTCGCTAATTGATTTTTCAACGCACCGTTTGATTTTGAAAAATCCTTCATCGGAATCTTTGTCTTGTCGGCTTTCGTGAGCGACGAGTTTATCTGATCGTCTTCTAGCAACCATAAATCAGTGTGCCTGACGTTCGATGATCCGGCAATATGTAATTGTGATCGTAGATTGCCCAGTTCTTTGAAAAATGTGTGATACCTGATGGAAGAATGAAGATGTTGACAAAAATCACAGTTGATATGTATGCATTTATGTAATTTTTGACGCACCCAATAAGATCCTCCTCGAATCTCTGCGAGGTGAAAACTCCGGCGAAGAATTTGCCCTCGTCCACCTCGTCGCCCACGTGAATCGCATTATCCGTCGTGTTTCTGGAGTCGTGGCTTTCTTCATCATCACCGGAATCAAGATCACTATACAGTCTACCGTTTGAAGCCACGCTGTTCACCTAAATGATAAATCAATATTCGAGCCATGAATATTCAACAAATATTCATTTTCAACGATACTACCATGCAACGAATTACTTTCGAAATATCACAACAGAAAGCGTAAATTGTTCGGCAAATTATACGTCTCATTAACAAAACGCAAACCACACTTCAGGACGATCTCGTAATGCGTTAGATATCACACTCGCATTACGTCAGTCTGATCTGCTGTAAAGAAGTACACACCTGGCTGTCGATGTCGCTACCGCTTTCAGCACTGTTCGCCCTGACATTCACTTCGGGCAGAACGAATCTACATGCAAAGAAAGCAATCAAAAATATTAGTCCACATGATCGTCATGATTAACGAGACACTGTCATGCTATTTGAAACGCATTAGTTCTTAATCCAAATATTGCGCAACGAGGCTACCGTTATTCATTCGCCTTGGCATAATACGTGTTCCGGATGTGACAGAAGAGTACACAAGCAATCGGAATACAAAGTGTTATTAACGTAAACATATAACACTCTGTCACTTTTGAAATTAAAATAATTTTTTTAAGAAAATAATAAAATGAAAGATAGAAACATATCTTTACGAATAATGTTATATAATAATAATATAATATATAAATATATATATAAAATTCTATGTTATATTTATGAATAATTACACTAAAATCTAAGCATTAAAAAATCTTGTGTTCTCAAAATAAAATCTAACTATATAAATGTACTGCACAAATAACCCGTAATACACTTTCATGATGATAGGAAAGCGTCCGAATATCACCAAATATAACAAGCATATTACGATTATCACAGCGAGGCTCGAAATACTGGTTAAAGTGACCTCGAACATTTCATTCACCTCGCAGGCGACATTTCGGGCACCGGTAATTCCCTCTTCTCCAGGCATTGATTGATTATCCCGCAAATACGCGACAGCAGGCAATCGTAAGCCTTGTCCTCTGGGCAATTCGTACAAAACCGGTACAGTAGCTGCAGACCATTGTTCGACTTGATGGCCTTCCTTCCAGCCTCTAAAGTGGCAAATAAAAACAGCGCACATGTGATATCGGCAACTTTCAAGAGCACATTAATAAAGAACGATAAACGAATGTGATAAATTCATTTTTTTTTTCGAATTATCCCTCCGAGAAAGTCCGGAAATTTTTTTGCAGAGTCCGCAGCAAACTTACTTATAACACAGAAATGCTGAAGCGTGTTAAGAGCGTAATTACAAATCTTCAGTCGCATCTGCCCGTCGAACCTCTCCCATCTTTCAAAGATTCGCATCAGCAAGTGCACTATTCCCACTTTAACGAATTTGTTACAGCATAGTTCTGAGAAAATAAAATACCAGAAATGACGTCATGGAAGATACGATTAAACACGATTAAAAAATAATACGTAGACAGACGTACTGCTGGTTGTAAAATGTTTGAAGCACTCCAACAATGTTCTCAGTTTCAAGTGCGGTGTGTAACCAACACTAACAAACGTTTTTTCCAGGGTGCTACTGATGCCGTCTTTCACCAACGTTTGCAACGTAAACGCTATTAAAGAAATAATTATAGAGCTTATATCACTCTTATATAAATAAATTTTATAGGTAAAAAAGATAATTACTTACAATTTTTTGCCAGAATCTTGATGATCAACAGCAGCGGCAATAAAGTCTTGCTATTGTTATAATGCTGTTTTAACAGCGCATGGAACACTTTTATGGAGTTGAGCAATTTTATTTTTAACACGAACTTCTGGTCCCTTTGAGCCACCTAAGAAACAGTTTATGATATTTTTTTCTAAAAATTTTGAAAGATAATAATTTAATCTACTTACTTTTATTTTAATTTCCTTTAATCACTTTATAATCTAGAAACTTTCACATCTCACGAAATAAGAGCAATAAGTATGAAAATAGTTGAAATAATGTTTTTACATAAAAATTAAAATCGAAAAAATATTTTCACCGTAATATAACAGGTATGCGCAGTGTGATCGATAAAAGTTCTGCTGTGCAGCTATTTCAAAAGTGTTTCCTTCCACTCGTGCAGAAATGACGAAGGGCATTGCGCAAAATAATCACTCCCGATTGCGATACTGCAATTGCAAACGATTTTACTAGAGCATATCGGCTTTAAATATCACCTGGCCCAAAATCCAGAGAATGTCTTGAGTGAGTACTTCGCCCGTGATGGTGTCTGCGTGCTGCAGGTTTATTAAAAGTTTAACTAGGACTTGCGTGATACCCAAGTTGATGAGTTGAATGACCGCCGTTCGGCTACTGGTTCCTGATTAAAAAAATACGAGCATGTTACTTTCAACGTAGTTCCAAAGAACTACGTTGAAAGTAAGAACGATGGTATCGACCTATCGGTTCTCGATAAAGTGTGACGTAAAAACGAATTTTACAACAATAAACAATCGTCATTACTTGTTGCACTTTTGTTCTTGCTCCCCTTCTCCTTGGACTTGCCTTTGGTCACTCGGGGCGATATGCATTCGTGCAGTATGCCGGCTATGCTGCAATTAGCAACGTTGTCCTTGCAAATCTGAAAAGAACTTTAGAATTATCTCAATACTCTTCTTTTCTCTTTGTGATATGTTCTACAAAAATACAATAATTCGCCTTTTCTAGCAAGGCAGCGTAAACTGCGATTTTACACTTCATCTGCGATAACGGCAGAACGTAATTGCGAAAGAATCGTAAATCGCACGCGAGCAATTATTCTAACGTGCGCACTGACACTTGTCAAGATCTGGAACAGACGAATATTTAGTTTTACGAGTCCCGGCGGCTTTCCGAGCACGCAGACAATGCAGGAGACTCGTGTCGCGTGACACAGCCGCGCTATTTCGCCGATAATACTAATTACCGCGGTTATTCAAACTCTTAATTGAGCCGACACTGTGCGAATAATATGCCGGCCGACCGTAAATACATTGTATTCTGTCTTTCTCTCGCATCTTTATATGCATATATCGATTGACTACTATTGTACGCGAAACCTTTGTAGCTTATATCCGCAGCGCCGTTAAGATAGGCATAACGAGAGTGAAACATGCACAACAAAGACCTATAAAAAAATTATTTTAATTAAAAATTATTCACCTCCAGTGCCATGATGAACGATTCCATCGCACCGGAATTCTTGCGCCAGATCTTTTCCAACGTGCGCTCGCGTATCCGCCGATCTGAAAAACATAGAATGATAAACGAGTATAGCGCTTTCCTGTTTATTTCTGTTTGTCTCGAAGTTTATAAGTCGCAATTTATTCGCAGCGCTTGATACCACCTTTTCAATACTAACTCTTAATCGATCTTAACAGATGCCTGTGACAATGAATTCTTTCAAATACCACATGTATTGGCACGACGTTCGGATCTTCTATCAAACTTGACATAATGCCAATTGGAAGCAATGTCATGAACAATCTCCGCGAGAAGTGCACACGGTTGCGTCAATTCAATATCCTTACGATCGCAATTATATGTATAAATAATAAATGAATTTTCGCTTCTGATGTTATAATCGAATATATCTCTGCGGTGACGCAAAAGGTGGCCTACGGCGAAAATTTAGCAACCGTTAGAGATATGCAACTATGTCGCGAAAATTTCAGCCGCAATGTATAATGCGCTAAACTAAATCTCGACTGCAGTAAATTACGCGATTCTCGGGAATATCAGCCAAGAAAATTGTTAGTCCTTATCAAATTGGCGCACACCCGGCGCGATCCGCGCGAACGTGTATCGTTCGGAGTCACGGCTTTCTGGACGTCGGCCAATTGATGAGCCTGTCAGCGTTACAGAGAGTCGTTACGTAATCGGCTAACACAGACGGCTGTGCTCGAAAATAACGGACAGTAGCAGATTACTACTGTTTACACACCTGTTCGCCAACCGACCAGGATAGCTCAACGGATTAACATCTGATAAATATATGCGACAACACAACACGAAAACAATATCAGAGTACAAATAATCTGAACAAGCGGAATTGATCATGTACTAATTAAGGAAAATGTAAAAAGTTCTATAAAATTGTTTGTAAATAAATTTATCGCAAAAAATGGCGGAAGTAGGAATAAACAATCGCGTAACATTGTCGACTTACTTGAAAGCGGCCTGAATTTGCATTATGCGCTCTGTCGTATACAAGATTATATGATCAGAATACATATATCAATCATTGCCGTAACCGGTGGCTTTTTCATGACACACTTGCATCTCCGCTAATCTATCCAACATGAATACTCGGCGCTTCCATAGAGATTTTATGTTTCTTCTATCAAGTTTATATAGACATCATAATACTATGATAATAACAGTGTGATAGGCACGACGAACGATTTCCTCCGCTATCCATCGCGCAAGAGTCACATGAGAATGATAAATCGCACAAGTTCCACCGTGATTTCGTGCCCGTCGTGAGTAATAATATACCGGCACGAATTTCTCCCTGAAGTGTCCAATCTCCCTCGATTCGTTTAGAACTTTATTGCCGCGGTCGCGATTCGCGCGCAATCGTACGCTTATCGTACGGCAACGTTAACATACACGCGATGCTGATCGTTAATGAGAAAGAAAATTACAGAGCGGCACTATTAATTCGCGATAAAATCGAACTTCGTAAGACCTTACACATTAAATGTGTACATATCATTATTTCTTATATCATTGAAATACAGTTCATAAAGTGCTCGGGTGTCATGTAAAATAAGCGCATGTAATCAAAGAAGAACTTAACTTGGCACAAGGCATTCCCTGAAACACAAAGTTACCACATTTAAGATGAGGAGTGAAATACATACCTGACGAGGTGACGCGGGCATGAATCTTGGCCACGATCGTCCTGAAGGCGTCGCCCGCCTCTTGCGGTTTAGCCGCGTGAGTTCGGAGCTTCTCCAACAGTGCATCGCTCACAGCCTCGTCCGCGCTTTTATTACCCGCTGACATCACACTAAATCGCACCGCAAAACAATGAAATGTCATTTACTTTTCCAGCGAGCGAAACGGACGATTCTGCATTCGCATCGTAATGCCAGAGATTAAAAAGCCATCATCGATCTCGGATCGATCGGTCTACCGCGATATGTGCAGGTGAAAATATTCGGAGCGCTATGCAAAAGCGTGCAACGGCACTCTGTCTACGGTGATAAATGGAACGCAAGGATTAGAGGCTGCAAGCTAACGTTTCGCATTGCCTTACGGGTACCTGAAAAAGATGATTAACGATTATCTTCTCGTATACAAGAAATGACATCGCGCTTTCTGTTCACTCTTTCCCAACATATTTCATCAATCAACTCCTTTAAATTAATATACTAATTCAATAACTAACGCTCTGAAATATTTGCGTAGTAGCAAAATCTTCGTCATGACAGGACGGACAATGGGATTTGTATTGCGATTGTCAGCAATGCGACGAGCTGCTTGTCGCATCAATGAATCCTCCATTGGCTTTCGGCCAACGCAGTCGGAAGTACAATTAATCACGATTCGCAATCAGTTGGTTGCAGTTAGTCAATGTCGCGGGAATTAAAGTCAACCATTGGAAAATCGACGCGCATCGCAGCCAAGGTTAATTAACGCAGCCAGATAAAGTGCGACGCTCTAAAATAATCGCCACGTGGATCGTGAGAGGCGCGATCTAGGAAACAGCTGGATGAATCTCATTATCGGATAATTAAGCGATCAACTGCGTATTAATCAGCAACAATTTTATACTAAAAAATTTTCAATCGAGTATCTAAAGATTATTTCTACCTTGATTTTGCTTATTCATCATAAATTCATACATCATTTTATTATATTTAATACTGGCTGTATAAAATACTTGCGAAGCAACTAAAAGCGGAAGACTTCATGCGGAATATTCGGCGCAAAGCTACTCTAACTTTTTCACCAGGCAGATACAAAAATAAGAACAAAAAGATGAATCTTTGCTGACAAAATATTTATTGATAGCTCACAAAGGATACAAAGTTTCTAATTATACCTTTCTCCAATCTATACAGCGTGTGTAATTTAAAACGTATGTACATCTTCAAAGGGTTAAAGCAATGCGCGAGTTATTGCATCAAGCTTTGCATCGGTGCGCTAATGAGGGAAGCTGCAGTGATTAAATGGGTTTGTGGAATGCAGGTAAAAATTAGAAAATTTCTCCCGCTCCAACTGCAGCTTATTAAGTCAAGTAATTAACAAACATGTAAACTCTATCAAGGATCTTTTAATAATGACGCACTCAAACATGCGCCCGATACCTTCGACTGGAACAACGATTAATGTGCACGCATGATATTCATATTCCTTAAGCAGCCGCACGTTTAATTAATTGGGACATAAATGCTATACCAAGCAGAACAAATCAACAATGTCTGTACTGCATATCGATGCGGATCTGATAAGAAAAATATCGAATGAGATATACTCGGCGCGTACACGCGAATATTACGTGCGGGATCAGATTATCATTCATCTCGATTTATTACCGATCGTCACGAAATTTGTTAAGGCCATTTACTACTTATGCTAGTATAAAATGTAATCAGATTTTTTATAATTGAAATACATGAGACTATCTATCAGCGTCGCTAAGACTTGAATTTTCTTGAAGCGAGTCTATTTTAACGATTGTTGTCGGTATCAAGGAGCGGAATAAAAGCCTTCGACCTTGCATACAAATTTAGCGATCGTGAAAAAGAACACAATGAAATAAATCTCTTTCAGCTAAATGCCACTTCGAGCGTATATCTGCGAATACTACCGCGTCCGACCGGAAACGCGACAGAAACAGCGTGCAGGCACATACACACATACACACGAAACACGATTCTGTCTTCTAAGGCTCTTTACTCTTCCTGCTGGACGTCGGCCGTGTTTTCGTCGACCGGTTGCATCTCCGCCATTGGACGTTGATTCTTTTTTTCCAATGCTTTCATATTTCTTCCTCCATTTGTCCACTTCTGTCAAAACGAACCTTGGTGTTGCGATTATTAAGAAAAATCGAGAAAATGAAATTCGTAAGGACTTCCCAGAATAACAGACGATGACTAAAGAGGTGGCAATGACGTTTCAGAAAAGAACAACGCGACAGACAACAGTGAGATCTCGGCGAGCGCTCTTTGAGAAATTCGCGAAACGATCCTCGCGCTTTGCCACTCCGAGGCGGTTTGACGTTTCTGTCTGCCAAAACTATGTTTAAAAGCATAGCGCGCACGCACGAGGCGCGTCTATTTTTAGCGACGACTGTTTCCCGAAAATCGTGCCCCCTTTCTCCCATCCGCGATAACACTCTCGCGTTCTCCAGCATCCTGGCGTCATCGACCGATGCACCGCGACGCATTTCAAAGTTTCAGCAATAAGAGAATGTAAACTCTTTTCTTTTTACCTGGAATTATTTTATCTAAAAAATCGCATAATTTTACAAAATAAACTTTTTTATATTCACTATAATTAGATATTTGGATAATTTTTAAGCGTTTTTACGTTGATTCTAAAATTTTAGGGGTATAAAAACAAATACTACATGCACATCTCCAGAAGCAGAAATAGAGCATCTGGCAGAGCGAACATCTGGGCTTTGAAATCCCTCTGCAGCATGAAAATCTAACGCAAAATCTCACGAAAATAATTGTTGTTTATTTACCAAGCCCCATCGCAGATCGCGGAATCGCGTTTCGTTTGCCAAAATCTAAAAAATACTTCCATATCTCTATTAGTCTCTCAGAACGTCAGCGGTTCCGCTAGAGTGCAAAAAGGATGTTGAAATGAGTTACGACGAACAGGTGAACATGTTGCAAAATTTCACCTGGCAAAAGCGTTATTTAGAAATGAAGTAATATCCACTAAAATATGCAGGTTGCACAAGGCACAAACTTGCTTGATAAACTTTTACTCGGCAAACGGCGTTCCTTAAGACTGAAGGAAAACCGGCGAAAGTGCAATTTCAACGACTGAAATAATGAGCTGATGAAAAATAACCCCGCTTCAATTCACGAACAATCGACTCTTTCAATGTCAAATGTAGAATTATCTACGGAAAATGTACTTCCATTTGATCACATTAGATCGTAGCTAGATTAAACCCTTGACTCTTGACTTTTCAAAGATGCTAAATTCGAAAGAGAATCGATTTGCAGCGAGGAAACTTCCTTGCGGAACATACAATTTGTATCCGGTGCAAACTAAGGCAAGATAAACTAAGACACTGCGAGAAAAAAATGGGACCATTTACTCAATTATTAAATTAAGCAACTCCAGAAAATAATGTCTCGTTAGAGTAGAAAATTGCGTGCAGCTGTCACGCGCGCTTATTCATGTGCGGCACGTTCGCCGGCAGGAAAACATTCGCCACGAAACGACACCGTGCGTTATTAACGGAGCGACACAACGTGATCAAAAAGAGCTATCAATTTCGAGATGAGAAACGAAGAGATGAGTTAGGGCTATCGATCGAACTGAAGAGACCAGTTACGAGAGAATGCGGCCCGACCTGATTCACTCTTCAAGGCTTCATCTCCTGCAAGGACGGCGAATGCGCCGTCGTGGTCGACGATCCTAGCACCACTGACTGCCGACGTTACGCGACCTCGGGCAACCTTACAACGACTGGCACACCAGCCGAACGGCATCAGCGACGTGCTGCTCGCCGGCTCCAGGTGTGTGCAGCACTTGTTGATAAACGAGAAAACCGAAGCGAATGCTTCCACGGATTGATTAGCGAACGTGCGAAGTTCCACGAGCACAGTCGACCTCTCACGAGGTTTCTCTATCGATTGCCTAAAGAGCGCTCCGATTCAAACTCTGGTCCACGTTTCTCCTCTTGCCGGGCTAGCCGCCCATCCTGCCGGGTGCGAGCTTTCGAGCTCGGTTGATAAGGAACTCATTAAACTTGGAATTAACACGCTGCGTGTATCTTTCGTACATCGGCGCAATGCTTTTATCAGGTGGACTAAAATATGTGTTAATTATCGATAACCTACTTCGTGCAATCCGAATGCAATGTTCGTAATCATTGTTAATTCAATATATTCAAAGAGAATAATCGTTATGTAAATTACCATGTAAATTACAATCCCTCGAAGAAAAGTTGTTTACAGATTGTTCGTTTTTGCAATGTTGTTAACCTTATCATGAATGACAAGAAAAGACTTCCGAAAGCATTGATAAATTAAATGCAACTGTGCTATTTAAACAGAAAAAACAAATACTTTCCAAATCGCAAAATAAAAATAACATTACAGAGTTACAAACTCTTATATTAAACGTAAGAGTCAGATATATATATATATAATACAATTTAATAGCGATAACATAATCATTTATGACAAATAATCAAAAAGTATTAATGACGTAAATCATTATTAAAGGTTAACGATCTTGAAACATTTATTTAAAAATTATTAATCAATCAAAAAACTAAGATATAAAAAATTACAAATACGTTCTCGACAACAAAATATCACAAATAAATACTTAATTTTTCACAATGAGTAAAAAATATCTTTAAGATGCGTCACATTTAAATTACATGTTCTAAATCGTCGAAAAATTAACATTCAATTAGAGAATTCAATCTACGAGAAATTGCATCTTAATTTAATAATCATTATTTTCCTCTTTGATCAACGACTTGTCATAAACGTCGGATTAAATCATCAATAAATTTGCAGCCATCGGACCCTTGCGTTATCAGCGCTCATCATCAAGGTGACCGCATGTTGCGTCGAGAATTGCATCTTAGCGTCATTTAATGGCTGTTACGTTTATCTGATCGACGACAAGCGGTATAAATGTCACATCTCCAAATTTTCGCCCGCCGATCGTCATCAAGGTGACCGTTCGGCGGTGAGATACACCCACGCGGCTCGAAACGTCACGTTTCTATATGTATGCTATGGCGTTAATAATCGCATCGACCGGAACATTGTGGCGCGAGGCCAATAAAAAGGGCGGCACGTAGCGCGATCGACGAACATCAGAAATTCAAATTCGACTTCGTCGCAAGACAGCCACGCCCTTTATTCATGATCATGAAGCACAAAATAACCGATATTTAACCGGTTCGCGCGACCGTTAAATATACTTGGAGTACTCACGCTACTTGCTGCTGCATTTGCGCGCCAACTTCCTCCTCGCAAACCATACGGAAAGCATATTTAGGGTTACATAGGCGATGGCTGCATAATATCCCTCATCGCTGCAATCTCGCGGTCGACACTCGCAGGATTTTACGTTTATGAATTTTATCGCGCAAATCGACGTGTTGTGTTTGAAGTTCTCGAAGAGTAACAAAGGTTGTCACGAGCGGATTGGTTTACAGCTTCAGTTCTGAAACATTTTATTTTTGAATAAGTTGGAAGCCAAAAATCGGAAATAAAAAATTCGAGGAAAATTAATATTTTATAAAAATCTTTAGTACTCATAATCATTAAAAAAATGAAACAAGTTGCACGATACCATTATAGAGTTTCTGAAAAATATAAAATTCACGTAAAATATAAAAAATATCAACAAGTATCAGGAATTCAATTTCTTATTCAGAAGTTTGCTGAATCACTTTTAAAACTAATACTGAAGCTAACACCGAAGCCACCTTTTACTTATATTTATGAATCGTGGCTATGCGAGTTCAGCGTTAAAAAACAACGGTATTGCGCCGTATTTTACTTGTAGAAGCCGACGATCAAGAGAGGAGAAGACACAACGAGTAAACGTTCGTAAGAGCAAAAAAAAAAAGCCGCAGATGATGTTCGGCCGGGTGGGGACTTTGCTCTCCAGGCAAGAATATATAAATCGCAGGTAGGGCTGAAATTCAGGTTAGTGCGGATACGATCTGAGACTATTGGCAACCTGCGGACAAGTGATGCGGGTAAGTCTGCCGGTGATTCATTACCACAGAGCCTGTCATTGTTCATTCATTTGCATTGACTGTTCGTCAAGCATAACACGTAGCGCCGATTTGACAGTAAAATGACAGATATTGCAGTCCTTCGAGTGTTTCTACGGTTTTCATTCAAATTACCGCGGCTCTTGAGTATCTGCACATTTTCCGCGTTCTATTTCTGCAATATGAAATTTATTTAAAATTAAATTTTTGTATTAATTATTCTCGAAAAATAAAGAGTAACATCCTTTTTCGTCGTCCCCGCGTGAATTGCTCTACATTTGCGCTGTAAAAATAGTACAATAAGATATAAATGGATCAAAATCTTTTGATAGATCGCAGCTATTCAAATCTCACAAAGAGCCGCGGTATATTAATAGAACATTGTTATCATATACCGTTGACGTCATGATGTTTTCGCGGATAATTTCATCTTGTTTGTAACTCAACCATTCGCATGCAATACATGAAATTCTGTGACGAGCATCCCTTACACTGCGAACAACTTTGAAAAGTTGCGCCGCGCACATTCTTTTTATACTTCGAAAAGCAGTTTCATACTTCGATAAGCAGACCGATCGACCAGTTGAAAAAACTACGGATATAGAAACGTTTATTAATCTATTCTAAATTTAAGCACAAAGTAAATACACTCGGATTAAAAATGCGATGTGAAGGACGAATTTCTCAATTTTAAATCTTTTTACAGAACTCGGTGTCATTCGTGGCTCTTTTCGTGATGATCGAGACGGCGGTATCAAAGCCGTTATGGACGACTTTAATCGACAATAATTACTTACACTCCATGCCTGAAATCAATGCACAACCGCAATATTTCACCGCGTATCAAAATACGCATTCTCCGTACTATATTTATAATGTAATGCACATAACATATATTGTGAAAAATTTGATAGCTGCACATCATTCGCAACATTATTTATAACATTTTTTTAGGTTCACACAAATGCGGGAGGCATCCCGGGTTACAATTTCTACTACGGAACGCCGATTTACGATTATCGGATTCCGTTAAGTCCGTTGAGCCCGGTAATTATCATTTTAGAAAATTTATTTGAACAATATACTATGTGTGGGTGAATTTTAAAACATTAGTTTGTATTATTTCAGATTTATCCTGTATTGACACCGTCGCAACCAGGACTTCCTCCTAGACCGCTACTTCCACCAACATCGACACAACCTTCCGAGGAGGACGATTACGATGGCATTGAAAAATTAGATATGAAAGTTGATCCGAACGAAGGAACAAAGAAACCGGAAAATAATGAGAACGATTCCATAGTTGTGGACGCAATATAAGTTACTTTTTTCTCGTCACGTAACGCGCATAAACGTGGGAAGAATATATATTTAAATAACAATCTTTCTCACATTACATTTTTATATTTACTTTATTTTGTATAATTATGTTATTTTATAAGACATTATATTTATACTCATTAATTTTATAACATTAAATTAAACATTTCTCAATAAATTTTTTTATAAAAAGATTTACTGTCAATGTTCATAGAATAAGCAAGTTGCCTATAATAAACTATGATTTTCACATGTCTTATTTTATTTATGCTTTTTCACCCGTAATTATGCAAATATAAAAATTATTTACGAAGTCAACAAAGCGCGACTGATTTGATATCACCCTAAAAAAAAAGAAAATAACGGTAGGGAAACTCGGCGCCGATGATTGACTCATCGGCGCCGCGTTGCAAAGAAATACCGAGGTCTCTCACCCCAAGAATCCGCGATAAAGCGGGGTCAAAGATGGTGAGTCGTTTTCAGATACTTCAGTGCATCGATTTCCTCGGTACGCGCACGTTGACATCAATGACGCGAGGATGATCGTTCACTGCAGAATATCATGGATGATAATCGCAGCGCTCATTCTTCTCGCATGCATATCGTCCTCGACATCTGTGAAACTGCGAAAGCTACGAAGGAGGTCGACGACGACGAAAGCCCCGGTGATCATAAAAGTGATACATAAGTATTCCGACGATGAGTTCACGCACGGTGTGTCGTTCAATTGCACTCGTAATAATTGCGGAAATTCGCGCGATAAGTACAGTTCCGACGTCGACAAGGCATTGCCCGAGCAAGACAAGTTCCGAAAACTCAAGAAGATCACGCTGCAAAAGGTCGACAAGCACATTAAATTAAATCTTTCGAAATCTTTGAGCAGAACAAAAAGAAATCTCGGAAGTGATGATTATCTTGCGCGAAGGAATGCGAGCGATTATTATGCGCAGCGAAGAGCTGTCATGGAAAGATACCATGCTCGGCAGCGTGAAATAAACGCGCGATACGCTAATCGGACGGCGGGCAGCATCACGGGATTAAGATACAACGGCGTGCCTCAGCGCTACCCGGTAACGAACAACGCTACACGATTTAGAATCGAATACGGGTATCGTAATAAGAACTCGACAACGGAGAGCGCGACTTCCCGTTATTCACGAATCAATCTGTTGGACAGCAGAGAAACGTTGAGCAATAGGATACCGACCGAATTAAACAATCGACGGGACATCGCACCGGAAAACGATCTTGACTCTAAGTCCGACGTGAATTTTGTTCAAAGAAGTAACATCGAGAGAAACGCATTGAACTTGACGGCCACATCCTGCGGACCAACATCTGGAACCGTCGCGCCGAAAACGCGGCAGAAATCTAAGCATTGCAACGAGACAGAAGAAAGCGAAGAAGACTCGGTGACGACCGTAAGTTAACACGTTACAGAATTTAAATTTTCGATATTTAGCTTAAATATTTTATTACTTTTACTCGATATGTCGTATGTTATGCATGAATCATCCGTTCTTTTTTTTTCAGATTACCCCCGGAAGTGAACGTTGGGGAGAATGCAAAGGAAAACTCGTGTATCAACACAACTTGCTTCTAGGATTGACAGGACCCTCGAATCTCAACGCTATATTCGAAGTGATTATTGAGGGTTCCGTTTGTATCACTTGCGTGGAGACAGTGCGGTATAACGAGACCAAGGCGAAAGTTGCGTTGGTATCCGGCGGGCGTGGTTTCGAATACGCGAAGCTCAAGCTAGAGGGTCACAAAAACGAAGGATTTTCCTACATAATAAAGATTTGGGGTGTCAAAAAAGTAGGTCAGGATTGCGGTAACGTGGAGTAGTCGAGATACGGATAATCTTGGAAAGTAGGTTCGTTTCTTTTTCGCCAAATAACATTACCAATAAATATGAAAAGTCTTTTAATAGAAACTATTACGCATTTTATAAATATATATGTAGTCTTACTAAATAATAATCAGCGAGAGTAATCTCGAAGCACAAATATGAAAATGAGCTAACATGTACGTAAGATACATCGCAAAGAATGCAGAATTCCATGAAAGATACCTGCTCAAGCTATAAAAATAATCCGTGCTTTCTCCTCTTTAAGCTCACCATTAATATAGACGACAAACACATTAACATAGACGAGACTCCTCAACTTTTGCCGAACACCGTGATGCAGATAACTTCAAGCAATTGCAAAGTTCAATATAATAGCGTGACTAACGTATAAAACGCCAATTGATTACACAACCACTCCAACGCGCCAACGAACATGATTGATTTGATTATCTCTCCACATGTAACAAAGGCCTTTATATCTTCTGAAAAAAAAAATTTAAGAAAAAGAAGAAAAAATAAAATCTTATCTGCTTACTTATTCGCGCTTGTAACGCACGCGGGTTTCACAAGGCTTCTTCCTCCGGCTTGTCCATCACGATTTAATTCGAAATATTTCTCTACGGGATCGGCTCAAGATCTCTTCGGTGCGGAGGTCGGGAGCGGCGGCGGCGGTACGTCTGGTATCTTCTCCTTGTCGTTCTTCGTCCGATCGCGCTTCTCGTCGTGGAAGCTCGGCAACAGATGACCGGAGTCCGCGTTCTCCGGCGTGGTCGCCGGGATCGGTTCCACGGCGCCGTAGGGTTGATAATCCACGTAGTAAGTGCCGGGTACGAGATGCGGATTGAAGCCGTTGTACGTGTAGATGTACGGCTCGTAGTAAAGAGATTGATAGTTTGGATAGAAACTTAATGGCACTTGGTCATGCTTCTTCGGAGAGTTCTTCGGGGAATCATCGTTCCCCGAATCATCTTCCTTCGCACGATCGGTGGCCGTGCGTTCGCGTTCCTTCGCGACGCCGAAGCTCGTCGACTCGGCCAGATGAGACTTCGAGGAAGAGGCCTGCGCCTGATCGTTCCCGATGACCTTCCCGCCGAGCGATGGATAATGCACCACTTCTGGCCCGGCAAAGTGAGGCGCTATCTGCGTGTAGTAGAACGGCGGCACGTAGCCCACGGCGGTTCGATGAATGACTGGTTGTATCACTGGGAACGCTCGCGAAGGTGACAAGTTCTGATTGCTCGTGATCACGGCGTTGTACACCTTTGGTACCCGAAGGAGACCCGGCACAGCGACTGCAGCGGTTACCAGCATGCACACGATTAACAGCTTCATCTAGAAGAGAAAATGCTGTTGTTAATTTTAATAAATTTATTTTAATATTGCGGTAATAATTTTATAAAAAATTCAAATACGAAAAAATCATTGCAGGACTTTGAATAATGAATGCGACTATTGTAATTCGGATATAAGTTTGTAAATCAATTTTTTAATAAAAAATTCTTGAATATACGCAAATTAGAGAACAGCGGGAGAAAACGGGCGTGTTTTTGTATGTGGAAGTGGCCGACATCATTATTGTTCTGGAAAGGTAGCCGACATCAGTGGCGCAAGTGCCTCGCGTGTGAGCACGTAAAGCGGCGCATATAAACGATCCGAAACACGCGTGCACAGAATATTACCCCGGCCGTATTTATAGGTGTGTACTCAAGAATCGAGTTATCGTATCTAAAACGAATTCCTATCGTGTTTGAAGTTCAAGCTCCCAGAGTAACAGCTAGCAGAACGTACCAAGGCTGCGATGCGGTTTGTCGAACAATATCGAACCCAAATAGATGTTAATTTTAGTCTTCTGACGTTATATTTGGTACCGATACGTACGAGCATATAGATTTTCATGGTATTTGGCGAGAAACGCAAAAAATCGTTTTGTGATCGAAATTAAAATAAAAATCCAATATACTTTCGTACTTTTCCTATCATAATGTAAAAGCATTTTGCGAGGAAAGTAGCATTCTCGTACGTTTGTTTCATCGTATCTAAAATACATATTGAATTAAAAATGCTAATAAAATTTCCGTCGCATTGTTAACAGGAAACGTGAAGCGGAAAGGGTTGAAACACGGATAAACTTGTCGATTTTACGAGCGTGCGAAGCGAAGGAACGAGAATTGCAGGCGTTGCATCGGTGAATCACCTCATCAGCATTCGCGACTTCGCGGCGTCATTCGCACACGTATCACTTCCTATCTCTGATAAACCCATGGTCGCGTTCACCTTATTGAATTGCCTCGATTCGATCGAATTTACGGATTGTAACGAGCGGCAAGACGCGGCGACGCGGACTGTTACACGTAACTCACCTTCGCGTCGCAGTTATCAGCTTCTCCCGTGCTCCACGTTTTCTGTACAGCGAGGATCTCCGAGAAGCTGACACCACAAGTAGCATGAGCGCTGCATGGGCCCGTAGTATATATGGCCCATGGGGTTCCAGGGTTCAAGCCCCGCCTCCCCCACTACGGGCGATTCTCGGCGAAAGTACTCTCCGATCGGTACTATAATGTCCAACTTCGGACCAGCCTATATCACCGGTAGAACTGTAGAAGGACAGCCGTTTGCAGTACGCCTCCTTCGACTGATGCATCGTGCGCAGCGGACAAGCGAACGATGTCTAAGAGGATAAGTGCGCGCGCGACAAGAGAGTCGTGTATCACTTTTTAAATTCTATGGTTAATGGGCAAATAATGAGCAAATAATGAGCAAATAATGAGTGATTCAGTATTTGAAGAATAAGCATACCATTCTTATATAATTGTCAGTTGCACAAGTGCGAGCCGTAACTATAAATGCGTCCAGTGAACAAATTATTTTGCATTATTTTGCAGCAACAAGTCACAAGAAAAAATTAAATTTTAATTTACATTCTCATTATATAATATCACAATTTAATAGATTACTATTACATTTATCAATGTAATATATTTCAGTATAAAACATGATTTAATTTACGCATGAATAAACAAAATAGTTAAAAGTTTTCTATATTTTATTATATGTAGAGGCATTCAATCATCTTTGACACACGGGTCCGACCTGTTACTCTATTTACGAGGCATTCGATCAAAAGAACCCAGTGACATGCACTAATCACCCGCCTTTCCAGCTGCATATTGCCAGCTTAGTTCATAAATATATATAACCCAATAATAATGCGTCCAATACCATAACAGGGTGACAGGTTTACCTTGATATTTTGTTGCTTAATTCACCTTCTAATTACGGACATTTAGCTGTGCACTTGTCCTTGGCAACGCGTACGGAAATATATAATTGTCTCCTTGCGTGTTAAGTGAATTGCTGAATTTACGAAATTGCGAAAGACGTTGTATCATTATTTTCATCATAATTTTGACACTACTTTGTAATAATTATTCAAATTTTACTTTCGATTTTAAATCTTGTTTTAAATTTTGAATGCTCAAATATTTTCAACCAAATAAATATATGCAAATAGGTGTGTAGCACATACGTGTTCGAATAAAATTTCGCTGTGATTTCTCTTGCTCACGAGTACATCCCGTTACGTATTTATCATTGTCGTTACTGATATATGCGAAAGGCGTACGACAAAATATTGGTGATTGCGAAAGAAATTTATGTAAATCGTACAATAACATCCAGAATTCCATGTGCGCGCGGATCGGCTGCTCGCATACGGCAGGTGGGACAAAAAAGAGCATTTCATCGGAATTCAGCAGCATCGTATATATGGCTTGGCAAGTCAATGCATTTAAACATCAGTATGCACGTAGAAGCAAGAGCTAGGAGATATCGCGCTAATGATAATGCTTCGCATTATCCGCAGCTTAATTATAAATGCACAATAACGCATTTGGCCGCTTCGGTGTACATTTATTCCTCATAACGATAGCAAAATCGCGACTACAAACGAACTTTAAGCTCTACAATACGGTATAGCGAATTGTAATAAAAAATCATAATAATAGAATTACGTACTCTAGCGTACTATTATTCTAATAATAATTACAACATAAATTGTAATATTTAAAATTACGCAATCTTAAATGTTAACTAAAACCACTAGAGTTCATAATTACTCGAACACGCATTTTGATTATTCTAAAATAAAATGCAATATTACACACCATGTTATAAACTATATTATCATAAATGTTGCGATGTAACGATCACACCTGATGTTGGTATCCTGTCGATCGAGATCAATGATTGATCTCAGATCTTCAGATCGACTCGATCGGTATGTAACAGATCCTGCGCAGCAATAAAATCGGGAAATTCGGCAGAACGACGATTAACAGCAACACCAAGGGCGACAGCAGCAGCAAAATATTGGCGTACACCACCAACCACCAGATCGGCGATGTTACCAGAACCGGCTCTAGCATTATGATCCTCCACCGGTCAGAAAGTTGAATACACGAGTACGAGAATACGAATAGGGCCAAGATACGTGTGAGTGCTCCGAGCGATCCGGTTTAAGAAGATAAAACACTCTTCGAGCATGGCTGATTTTTCATTGTCAGTACGCTGTGATGCGCTGAAAGCAGAGAAATATTTTTCTGAACATTATTTTTTTTAATAAAGTACACTGTAACATATAATTAAGAATTTTAATTAATTTAATATTAAAAAAAGCGTAATTCTAGTTCTAATTTTCGAAACTGTTGCTTAAAAGCTAGAGCATCCTATAACTTTTAAGTAAAATCAAATACAATTGTTATATTAAAAATATTAATATTAGAAAATAAACTTTTTTCGCAAAAAATTTAATTGCCAAAAATTCATAATTTAATTCAGAATATATCAAGATTATATCTCATGGTCAAATCAAAGAAGTACGAATTGTTTTGCAAAAAGAAAGATTATCAATTTTATTTAATGGAATTAAAAATATATGTGCGTGTTTAATTTTTTATTACTTTAATCATAAACTTTTTATCTAAGTTGTACGTTTATACGTAAGTTTATATCGATATTTTCAATATTTGTATATGTAAAAAAAAGAATTAAATTATTGGAAAACTGTAAAGTACTTTCAAGTTTTTGAATGTGCTCTAAATTTTAATATATTATTATATAAATTATTATATAAATTTTAATTGTAATATATTTCCAGTTTATAATTATCAATTGCAACATAAACAATTGCAATATAATTAATGTTACATAATTCGCATATCAAGATGTTTACGGTCTCGTATTATTAAAACAGCAATTAATTAAATTGCATCCATATATATTTGTAATGTAAATTAAACCTTACACTTTTCCACAGATTTGTAATATTATTGAGTTATCTAATGTGGCAGAAAATGATGATGTGCCAGTTGTTACGTCAATCCCAAATGCACTACTTGTCAATTACTATTTATGCAACAAAGCAGGTTGCAGGTAACAATTGCATAACGGCGCAACGTGCTAAAACACAGTCGGCTAAACGTTCAAAATAATTTTGTTCAGATTGCTTTAAATTCCTTTTTTAAATATAGAAAACAATAAGAATCTATTATTTTTAGTATTTTTCTATGTATTTTTATTTCTTAATGCTAATTTTTTTAAAATTAAAATAAAAAATAAAATTAGGTAAGCGTGTTAGTGCAAATAAGATTTTTTTAAAAGCCATCGTAATCCTACATAAATTTATATACTTCTAAACTGAATGAAACTTTTGAATTAATTTATGAGAGAGATTTGCTCTTTCCTCGAGTTCATAGCCTATTTATCTTTCAAGTTCTGTCGAAACGACATAAATGTCCTTGTGGCAAAGAGAGTAGATTCATCTCGTGATGTGTTAGGCAAGCGAGACAACGCGAAATCGATTAAAACAAAACCTTGAGAAATAGAGAAAGAGAAAAGGGAGATAACAATCAACGCGAAAAATGGTTGCAATTTCTACAATCCACACGCAATATCGTTAGGAGGATGCACGTCGCTCGCATGCGCTTGACTCAATGCATTGCATCGAGAAAAGTGAAATTTTCGCGATTGCATAACAGTCGTATAATACTAGTATTCAATGCAGCGTCATCATACAACGCAATCTAAATGCGCAGCATAATGTCAATGATCAAGCGTAAAAGGGATAAACAGCCGGGCTTTACACGCAGTCACGTTAATTATGGCTTGCGTAAAGGCGTTACCTTAACTCCTTATTTACTGGAGCACCTATCAATGTTAAAGCAAGTGACCATGTAATCATTTTGATTTATTTGACAATGCATACATATATTGATAATATTCCGATGAACAGTTAAATGAAAAAGGAAACGTAAGTGCCTTACGTCTATAATATTTACAATCATCGTGCTAGACAGAATTAACAAAATAATTAAAATAAATAAAACATCCGCATTATAATTTCCTTTCTACAAGGAACACTGTAGATATATATATATATATATATATATATATAATGTTGATAATTGCAATAGATATGGAATAATACTCTTCCTACCGGACAATTAAGCGCTTACAAATTATCTTTTACTTCTTCCGAGTCTATTTATAAAAGCATGTGTATCTCTTTCTTTCCACCGGAGATTAGAATTAATGTACTTTTAATAAGCATAACAACGTTTGCATAATAACCCATGTTTAATTGCGATAATGTAAACGCAAAGATGCGGACTTATCGGGGACAAATACACAATCAGACAGATTGTGATCATACGATTACTTATTTTAACATTAATATGCGCTCCAGTTTGATATAACATTTATACCGTAAACAAAGCAGAATAAATTTAAAATTGCGTAAAACATGTGCAACATGCGCCGGCGAGTTTAGATATCAATTAATGTAATGCTCGAACTAATGATTTAATGAATTTTGTTCCAGAAGACAACTCTGTAATTAAAGCAGAAAAGAAAGCTGCAGTTAATTATGATGAATTAGCGCTAGTCGGTGCAAGCAGACGCATTGTCAAGAGTGTGCGATAGCAATTACACCCTTTGTCCTACCTTCCGCTATCTCGATAGTTTCCAGATTCCGTGTCGTTGCATTCGCAGCGAGCTGCATCGCATACCGGGCCGCGGCTAACACGCTTTACTCGCTCTCGGTGCGCGCACCGCGATGATGCATCCTCGACGACGCGCCGCGTGCAGCTGATAATTCCGATAGATTGGCACGCACGCACTCCGTTTTTCTTAGTAATCCCGCGTTACGACTACTGTACGCCGTTCGTTTTACAAACTGCGAGATGACTCGCGCGCGCGACGCGAGCAGGCGCGCGCTCGCTTTCCGTGGACTGAGAGCGCTAAAGCTCGCGGTCGGTCTACGGCGGACTTTCCCTTTCTTTCGGCTCCTTTAAGGCCGGCAGTGTAACACCGGGACGGCTGTACGTTGTTGTTAAGTCACCCAGCTACTACGCACGAGTGGCGTGGTGGACGCCGTCGTGAAGCTACGCCGCGTGAAGACGCACGCGTGTGCGTCAACCCGATGGCATTGACGGGTTCTCGCTGTACACCCGTTCTCTTTGGCTCTTGCTCAACAAACTCTTGCGAACAAAGAACTCTGCCAGCTGGCAGGGAGTGGCTTGTAGAATGCCACGGCGCGCTCATGAACATTCAACAAAGTTCAATACTTTTGTCAAGCAACGAGCTTTATTCAATCGTTTTTACTTCTTTTCTATGTAAAATTAATTGTAAAGCGTCGAGTTAAATTATATTGTTCAATGAGGCGAAAGAGAAGAAGCAGTGCGGAGGCAGTATTGTGAAAGGCTGAAGTTGAAGTCACTTTTCTTGGGGCTTATAGTGGCGATCAAGGTTGTCTCAAATATGTGCCGGGATCTCTTATATGGGAATGTTGTTTTCATGAAAATTTTTCACAAAATATTTATGTTTTACATTCGAAATGTCGAAATCTGTCATGCAATCTACCGAAACAAAGATTGAATAGCGAACGCAGCACATTTCTTCTACTTGTTATGAAATATCAACAGCAATTTATTTTATAAAACATTCTTATCTTATATCTCTATTTATATATTAAGAAATATCAGTTGAAATTTATTTCACAAGAAATTCTTCACACTTGTAAGATTTCTAAAAATTGTTCATGTCTGCGAATACCGGATTTCGTAATGCTTATTCCCGACCGCTATCTATAGAATAATTAGATGCAAGGAATTTAAATAGTTTGGAAAATTGCACGACCAGAGAATAACATGATTTTATTTTCGTGTTTACAACTTGCATTTTCAATTGCGCTACATATTTTCACGCGTGCGAAGGTAGTTCCAGACGTAATATGCTCGTGTACGTAGTTACCGTATGATTGAATGCCAATAAGCACAATAACGGCGCAAAAAAAGCTTTGATGAAGAGCTTTTTCCTCTGAGTATGTTTCATAGATATGCCAGAAAAATCAATTGTCCGATTATACGCGTTACACTCGATATCGTAAAAGAGAAAACGAAAAGCAATAAAAAGAAACACGTATTCGCGCGCACGACTCATAAACGCATCTCAAAACTCGCGATAAATAATTCGAACAGCTTAACTGGCCCCGAACTGGCGATCATGTGTATGCGTGAGTCGTACGCTTTGACAAAGCAAACAAAGGGTTCATTGCTCTCGCACAGGGATGACCTTCGACTAAAACTTCATTTACTTACTGAGGATGTGCATAGTAATTGGAGTAACGCGTGTCGCTTTGCAATAATATCTCGTGTCATATGATCTAAATTTTCAACAAATACAGTATTCGCAGACTTTATTGACGTTGTTGACTCAAAAAACGCTGACACTGCTGCACTCGAAAGTGTCACTCTTGCAAATTATTAACTTTACGAGCTTGGCTATGTTGTATATTTATATATGGCTAGTTTTCTTTTTATTAGAATAAATTCTAACAATTCATAATCTAGCTAAATGTTAGCTAGATTAGCTAAATCATAGCTAAATGTTAGTAATATTGGCAGTTTGGAAGCAAATTTCATATCAATCTGTCAATATTGCTAACATTTTGCTTACTGGAAAATTCATGTAAAACATTTAAGAAGTGTGAAATAAATTCTACAGAAGTATTCCAAGCTATATCGCGGTGTAAAACAAGCTTTTTAAATTTGTTATTCTTACTAAATAAAAATTATATATGTATGTAATAATATTATTCTGTCCGAGTAAATTAATAATCTGATTTAAACTCATTTTTTAGCCAAAAAATTATGATAAACGTTTTTAAAATTTAGATGATATGATGAGTACTTACAATAAGATATTTTATATCAATTTTGACGAACCTTACTGAATTTCGGAACGCAGCCTATGTTTACATCAGACATACGATGCGGACCACTGCTAATGTAGTAGAAATCTATAATATCAATCCAGTTCGAAACGCAAGCTTTATGGTAATACACTGTCCTCTGTGCGGAAACCTGTAAATTAGAAGTAGAAGAAAATATCATTGCAATGTTGATAATATTTGTACTTTATCTGTTACGATAAATCATAAATTTAACATTTAAAATTCAATAATTGTTTGTACTATAAAACTTGGAATTATTTATATTTATCCACACCGAAATATTATTAAATATTTTTCTTATTTTTTGTACATTTACTTTATATTCTTTATTTGTAATAATAAACCTCATAGATATATGTATATCAATTTTAGATATAAATTAAATATCAAAGATATCCAAGAATTATTCCAATTCCAAGATATTTAATTTCATATCACGCTAGTACGTTCCAAATTTACTGAAAAGCAATTTAAATTTTTTATAACTGTTACATAACGAAGGGAGAAGAAATACTAACGAGCGACATACTAACATAAGCTACATTCGATCCAGTTGCAACAACGTAGGTTAGGTTTAAATTTTTTGCATTTATCGCAGATAATGCATGGAAAAGACCGGTGAATAATTAATCAAGATTTTAACTTTTAAATTAACTGACCAACGATGCTAATGTCAGAGGTTTTAAACGTTGATCAGATGATTTCTCCATTGATATGTTTTTAGAACGTACAATACAAGTTCGATCTTCGACACCATAAGGAAGAAAACAGCAGTTAACACGAATATAAGAATGACGTAAACGTTTCCACAATTATTCAGACCTTTTGACCTTAATCTAGCTCATTAAAAAAATATTCTACTTAAAAATTTTATCACGTTCCAATCTTTGAAAAGCTTTGGAAGAATGAATTTCGAGGAGCTATTTGTTACTACACTTTCTCGAAGATATTGAATTACGTGCTACATGACACGTTTGTTACTTTCCTTGCTTGTAGCAATATTTTTATTCTTGCCGTTATACAAATATTTGTGGATCTGTGCATCGTATCTGGCACGGTAAAATAACAATGTAACCCTATAAAATTATAAATCGCCCCGTTCGTGATACTTTATATTCATAAACAGATATGCAGAGACGTGAATGTTAAATATCTCATTATTACAAACGACGTCTTTCGAATAATGAATAAGCATTTGGATGTGTGTATTATTTGCAACCTTGAATACTTTGAAATTTTGATATTCATGTATAATATGACTTGTATTTTCAACGACTAGCACATTTAATATTTGAAATACTCTAGCAATAAGCAATAGGTACTTACTTAATACATGTAATTTATCGAGGGCGGTTCCGGTTTCTTATCACTAGTTGCTCTTGTTACTGCGAATGGAATTCTATGCTTTATAAACAAGCGAAACAAAGAACTGATTGATAAAATTAGTTTACAATATGACAATTTTTTTCTTTTAATTTAACTGTACGAACAAAATTGATTATATGGTTAATGCAATTTTAGTTCTTCCAAAATGCGTAAATAATTTGTAATATTTGTCATATATATATACTTGAAAAATTTCATTTTTAATACTTAATAAAAACTTAGATTTAAATTTTTGTTTAATTATTCTGAAATAGGAAAGTTTGTAAAAAATATATTGCAATAAGATATTGCCCCAACGTGTAAATGACATGGGGCCCTGAAAAGGGCCAGTTTATATCAGAAGCAGAGTCAGTGTCAGTGTCAGAAAATTATTTCTTTGCCTTGGCAGTCTTAGCAGCCGCTGTCTTAGTAGATTTCGGCTTGGGGGTTTTTGTTTTAGCAGCCGGAGCTTTAGTAGCTTTTTTGGTTTTAGATAGATTTTTCGTTTGAGCAACAGCTTTTTGCTTAGCTGCAGCTTCAACCTTCTTCGCTGCTGCTGTTTTGGCAGCTGCCTTCTTCGGAGCTGGTTTCTTTTCTGGCGCTTTCTTGGCCTCCGTCTTCTTCGGTGCAGGTGCCTTCTTTACAGTTTTCTTTTCAGCTGTCTTCTTGACGGTTTCTGGTTTCTTCACAACTCGTTTCGTCTTGCTACTCTTGGTACGAGTAGGCTTGGTGGTTGGGAGCTTGAATGAGCCTGATGCGCCTTTTCCTTTGGTTTGTACCACTGCGCCAGATGTGACTGCTGCCTTCAAGTATCTCTTAATGAACGGAGCGAATTTTTCACCATCGACCTTGTAAGTCGATGCTATGTATTTCTTGATAGCCTGCACCGAAGAGCCTTTGCGATCCTTCAGCTCCTTGATGGCAGTCTTAACCATCTCCGCGGTTGACGGATGTGTCGACTTCGGACGCTGAGCCTTCGCTTTGGACTTCGCAGCCTTCTTCGCTGGTGAAGCGGCGGCTGCGTTTTCCGCAGCTGCGTTATTGTTAGATGCGTTCTTATCCTCCATGATACGCGAAAATGCGACGTTTGAAGACGAAGTACAAATATAAGCTTTCGTTCGTTCTAAACGCTCACAGATGACGCTTTTCAAGAATGAACCGGGTACGCGCTACTCGTAGTGTGAGCGCGGACCATGGAGAGAGGCCCTCCCAATGTTGCAGGTATCATGCCATCGGGAATGAAAGAGCGGCCGGCAATTGTTCGTTGTTTAAACAATATTTTGCACAATAAAGGTCGTTCGGTCAGCATTCAGGATCGTAGAAGCAAGTAGCTAGTTTCGTTTAATACACATTGCAACGCGCCTCCGCCCGATATATGTCCAATTTTTTACGGTTCCGTGCGACGCGCGCACCCATTTCATTCGCGAGAGCCGATTCAATCCGAGAAATTAGTTAATAAACAATGTAATTATTAATGCACAATACGTTTATGCGGTTCACGAAACGTCGTGATAGCTGAGCTAACTGATCGCAAGTGTTTGTTCCGAACGAGGCGCCGATTTCACGCTGAATATTCCAAGTTTCGGGAGTGGTCGAATACAAGCGTTAGTGCAAGAGAATGTGAATACCGATTACAAAGTACATTTGCAGACAATTTTACGGAATAGTGCAAAATGCCATTATCGACCGGGAGAAGTGTGGGTATAATTAGGTTGCAATATTATATGGATAATCAGAGAAATTGCTTGGAAAAAACCGTATATGCGCGAAGCGGCTTACTGTAAGATACCGCGATTGCTTCCGTGCAGCCAAACGTTACTGTTATAATGAACCACATGACAACATAGTGAAATGACATATAGAGATTTACATTAATGAAAAATAACATTTGGTGAACGATGTACTAACATAATAGTCATTTTTTTTATATTCACGGATCTAGAATCGAATTTAACGCTAGAATTCACTTCTCTTCGCCGAACTGCGTGAGCGAGAAGATGTAAATTACGAACCGTAAACTAGTAACGTAAAAGTTATTAAATTTTTAAATAACGTGAAATATTTTGCACTTTGAAGCTGCAATCAATGCTGTAATCAAATTCATGTTCCTAAAGTCTGCCACCAATTAAAACTATAGAATATAACGTTAAATTTGTGTCCGGCCGAGGTTATGAAGACTCTTATCTATAGCTCGTTTAAGTTTCATTGTAATACCATATTTGGATAAATAATTTTAAATTAATGTTACGAATATTTTCGTACATTCCAAAATATCCTTCCGTTGATTTTTTAATGAAAATTTAATTACTCTAAGTAGAAATAACTCATACTTCTTATAATATGCTGTCTATGCTTAAAACTGACGGAAGCCTCATAGTCGCACAATTGACCTTAAATGTATATAATTTATATATCTTTATGAGTAATTAATATAAATTTTAATTTTACTCATAGTTAAATGATTGAATAACTTGTCTTAAACAAATGTCAAAATCTCTATCTAATTCGACGCTATCTTATTTCACTATTGCACGTTCTAGTCTTCTTTATTCCGCATTTGGTTGAAATCTAAATGCGTTTTTTCTTTATTTTTCACGAACTGTTAATACAATTTTAAAGACAATGAGATTTCTGTGTCACTCCTATTTGATCTCATTCTCAACGTTAAAATATTAATATGCATTTATAATTATTTTTGTACTTAATATTAATAATATAAAAATGTATAAAAGTAGGCATATCATTTTCTTTATTATTATTATTAAATGCGTGGGTATTTTTCACACGTTGGTATTTTTGACGAAACTTAATAGAAGTCGTATAATTGTTGGGCGTGACATTTGCAAACTAAATTAATGTTTCATATTTTCCGTATGTAAAAATAGATACATGCGATGGAGGAAAATATGTGGATTACACATATATAGGATAATTTAATCGCAAAAAATAAAATACCTAGTATCAAAAGCTGCAGTACATTGATTTTCTTTTAGTAGGTTAATACGTACAACTAAAATAATCTCATAATTTCTTGAGCAAACATGCATAATAATGATTGACGCCTAATATTGATTTTTAGATAACGTAAAGTTTCAAAAAATCATGAGTTAATACGTTTTTAATAGCCATGATTTAAGTTTTTTATAATGTTTTGAAAAACCTACACTTTTATGTATTATACTAATAGTACGATTGATTGATCGGTATTTGATTTCGTGAAACATAGCAGTGTTACTACTCTGCCTTATTATTTTATCGATTAAATTAAGAAAAGTAAATTCTTGATGAATATTTTTAAATTTAATTGCAGACGCATAATATTTTGCTATTCTGCGAATAATTCCATAAATGTGCAAAAATTATATAATTAAAGTATGAATACTAAAAAAGCTAAAATCATATCAATAATTACACATTTTTTTATAAATCTGTATTGGATAAAATATTTTACAGCGTACAGAATTATTAGAAAATGTAATTTTATATTCATACTCATACTCCGCATTTTACATATATGATACATGATAATAAATGTGTTCCTATTTCCTGATTCTAACATCTGATTTATATATCTATTAGCTTAAAAATTAACATTTTCATGAATTGAAAATTATGCAAATATATTTATAACATTACAAAATTAATCTCTATATGTAAGTGTGAGCAAATACATTATTTTATTTTATTATTTTCAAAACTTTAAATTTGAATTACGCGTAAAATGCAAGTATTCAGCTTTATTCTTAAAATTCAAATAAATTCAAATAAAAATTTTACTAATCGAAATTCTTAATATTATTAAATAAAACTTATTTTATTGATCGAATAACTTGATGTTAGAATAAATAAAAATATTTAAGTTGAAATCTCTCAATTATTTCTCATTAAATCTTAGACATTTTAATATTTGTTCGGAGGAGTAGAATAACCATATTGGTTAAATTTTTAATTCAAAAGATACATATAAACGGGATATAAATATATATATGAACTTCTTCCTTTAAATGCTATACATGCAGTTTTTCATGTTCTTTTGCATCTTTGTAGTACACACATGTAGTAAACATCAGTCTTTTTTTTTAACTGTATGGTGTTTCTAATATATCCGCGTAATATAACATATGACAAAAGTAGGCATTCGATCGGTGAAAGCGCGTGAGAACGTACGTTACATCGCATCTCACGCGCGCATGGAAACAGCTGCTTCGCCGAGTTCACTGTAGAGTGCCGCGTTGGTTATCCCCACCATCGGTGCTTTGACCAATCATCATCGAGTTCTTGCAGCTCGAGTCTCCGAAACCCTTTAAAATGACAGCTGCGGACACAGTCCCCACACTTTCGTTCAGACTGTTGCATCGTGACGCTCTGTTGTTCGGAAAGAAGAGATGGCTCGTACTAAGCAGACTGCTCGCAAGTCCACCGGAGGCAAGGCTCCTCGAAAACAGCTCGCCACCAAAGCAGCGCGTAAGAGTGCGCCTGCTACTGGAGGAGTCAAGAAGCCTCATCGTTATAGGCCCGGAACAGTCGCTCTTCGTGAGATCCGTCGCTACCAGAAGAGTACTGAATTGCTGATCCGTAAACTGCCGTTCCAGCGTCTCGTTCGTGAGATCGCTCAGGATTTCAAAACCGATCTTCGTTTCCAAAGCTCAGCTGTTATGGCGTTGCAAGAAGCTAGCGAGGCATACCTCGTTGGTCTTTTTGAAGATACCAATCTTTGCGCCATTCACGCCAAGCGAGTTACTATTATGCCTAAGGACATCCAACTGGCACGCCGCATTCGTGGAGAACGCGCTTAGATCGAAAGATTTTAATAACCGGCCCTTTTCAGGGCCCCAATCCCATTTCAAAGGATTATCTCAAATTCGCTTAAACATTTGTATATTTAAGACTAATTTATTTATTATTATATGCTTTAAAACTATCATATTAAATAACTTGGATTGTCAACTAAAGTTTTAAATTTTAATTAAAATTTGTATTACGCTTTTAAATATAATTTTTACATTTATAGCATAAATACGTCATATGTATATATACATCGACAGAATTGTGTATTTGAACTTTTAATAAAATATATATTCTATTTATAAATTTAAATCTGTCGAAAGAGATCTGAAATTAATTCTTTAAATATATCTATAAAATGATGTAACATTATTTAGATGGCATATACTCAAAGATAAGACTGAAATTAAATACAAGTTATTTTCTGTTTTTAACATGTTAACTGTCAGCAATAAGTCCGTTTCTTTTAGCAGAACTGGCTGCACTAGTTCAGAGTTTATCTTTCTCTTTCCAATGATGAGAGAAAAAGAAACTCTGAACTAGTGCAGCCAGTTCAGCTAAAAAGAACAGACCTAATGTTAAATTTTGTCTTAGGCTATAATACTCTGAACGTTAATGTTTTAAAATCAAACCATCTGATCAAGCAGCTTATATTGATGTGTATAAAATGTATTGCATATATACACTTATGATATTGGTATAAAATTCTTTTTTAAATAACTAGCTTAAGATAAAACTGGTCTTTATTGTCTAGTAAATTATGTAAATTTATATAAGTTTTGATTAAATTTCTTTTCAACATTGACTTAATTTTCGTTCCTCATGTCATCTAATAGTTTGCCAAATAAATGATTATGTATTTAAGAAATAATAGAAAAACATTTTTACATTAATATATTTAATTTCTGAATAATAACATTAATGTGATGCAAATATCACATCATATGACGATCATAGTAATAAATTTTAATTGTATTTAATAAAAATTCCGCATCTTAGGCTCCTTGGCACAATAGAGAAAATATTAAGAATAGAATATAAATATTAAATATTAGGAAGAGCAATTTTTGGAATTATTTTAGGTCAAACAAGAGAACGAAATAGATTAATTATTCTTAATTTATAACATATGTTAATCTATTACATTTACTTATTTTGAAATTTCTAATATTTATTTCTATTAATATTTTCTGTTGTACGTGGGACGTTGTTGTGTGTGAATAGTAATAATAATATGAATAATGACATCGCTATTTATAGAATAAATCAAATATATCGTCTCACATCAGTATCGACTGTTTTATCTGTATAGTCACACGGTCTCGTGCCTAACCTCTATAACCTCAAAATGCACTGAAAAATCTTGATCTTTTAACTACATGATTCTAAATATTTCAGATAGATTTAGTGTAGATTTCATGTTTCGGTTTTATGTACATACCTGTAATATCATTAATTGCAATATTTCATCTATATAACAAAGTTGAAGTTTTGTAAATACATACAAAATATATAACTATTTATTTGGTAATAACTGATAAATTACTTAAAATGAACAAAGAGGCAAGGTTTGCAAACTCTTGTGTGCATTATTCTAAATAACAAAGTGCGAAGTAGCTAAAAGAAATTATGATTGTAGTATTAAAATTGATTTTATTTCTCATTTAGTTAAAACTGATCCATTGCATATTGAAATAAATGTGATTGCACAAATAGGTTCAGTAAAATGAATTATAAATATTTTATATGAAATTAGTATAATAGAATATGATGAAAAAGTATTGTTATAAAATCTTATCATTTTGTTATATTATATAGAGTAACATTTGTACAGCGAAGAAAAATTGTCCATGTTTAAAATATTTGTGGCCCTGAAAAGGGCCGATTTGATTTGTGGAACTCCACTATTCTTCGCTTATCCACCAAAGCCGTACAGAGTTCTGCCTTGACGTTTCAGGGCGTATACGACGTCCATGGCAGTGACGGTCTTCCTCTTTGCGTGTTCAGTGTAGGTGACAGCATCACGAATGACGTTTTCAAGGAACACTTTCAGCACACCGCGAGTTTCTTCATAGATCAAGCCAGATATACGCTTGACACCGCCACGTCGTGCCAAACGACGAATGGCCGGCTTGGTGATACCCTGGATGTTATCACGAAGAACCTTCCTATGACGCTTCGCTCCTCCTTTTCCCAATCCCTTTCCTCCCTTACCGCGACCAGTCATCTTGAGCTTTTAGTAATAGTATCTATCCTCTGAGACGAGAGCAGATCGAATGATGGCCACCGTTCTCCGAGCCTCTCTATTTATACCATTCGACTTGGTTTCTCCCCACCACGACTCCGCCAGCCAATCAGAACGCTCGTCTTGCATGAGTCTACGTCAGCGTTATTTGCTCAATTGATGGAATATTATGTGAATATTGTTTTCAAACAATAGTAAATATAAAAAATATACGTATTTACACATCAATAAACATTTTGGAATTTGTAAATATTAAGCCTTTTTAATACTAACATTTTGCCATGACTTTTTCCCCTTTTATTCTTTAATTCGATTATTGAATCATCAGAGCCTTATATATTTTTATATGCATATTTATTTACAGAGAAAAAAATATAGAATATAAAAAAATATGTCTAAATTCAATATACACTATAAGAAAGTATAATTTATTGCTATATATCCATGCATATAAATCTTATCTTTCTACCGATTTTTTCTTGAAACGATGTAACAAATCCTCTTATACGATAGATTGTAAAAGTAATATTGTTGTTTAGATTTGATAGTGACATTGATTGTGTGCGTAATTGTGCTGCTAATATTTGTTCTTATAAAATATCTCCTGAAAAATGTATAATCATTATTTGATATCTATAGAATTTAATCCGTACATTAACGTAAATATAATATATTAATAAACAAAAATGGAATTCATGATTCTACGATGATTCACTTATAAAAATTGCTAAAAAAGAAATTTTATATCCACATAGATGCATTAGAATTCTTAATGGAATATCGACCAATGGCATTGCAAGCAGGAGTTGGTGCTGCTCGCTTATGATTGGTGCGCTGTTGCTACCGCTGGAAGAGTATATATAAACGTGCGATAGGTAGGCATCTCATTCGATCTTCGAAGCTGCTACTGTGCTGTTCGACGTAAGAATACTTTTTGCGAAAAATTTACCATGCCACCTAAGGCTAGCGGTAAGGCGGTGAAAAAGGCCGGAAAGGCCCAGAAGAACATCAGCAAAACCGATAAGAAGAAGAAAAGGAAGAGGAAGGAAAGTTATGCGATCTACATCTACAAGGTGTTGAAGCAAGTTCACCCTGACACTGGAATCTCCAGTAAGGCTATGAGCATCATGAACAGTTTTGTTAATGATGTTTTTGAGCGCATTGCGGCGGAAGCGTCACGATTGGCTCATTACAACAAACGCTCCACGATTACATCTCGGGAGATTCAGACTGCTGTGAGGCTCCTTCTGCCCGGCGAATTGGCGAAGCACGCTGTCAGTGAAGGAACAAAGGCGGTCACCAAATACACTAGCTCGAAGTAAATTACTACAAAAAAACGGCCCTTTTCAGGGCCACCAATATTTATAACGTTTGATACTCTTGTATCGTATAAGTATTAATTTTTCCCTTTAATATATTAAGAATATATAAAGAACTAATGTTCTGATAATTATGCTAATGAATTAAAATTATTATATAATTATTATATAAATTTTAATACAAAACTAGCACTTTCTAACTTTATGAAAAAGATCGTGAACAAAATAGTTAGAATAATAGAAGTATGTTATTGAAATTATTTTATTATGATATAACATTGAAATAAAATGTCATATAATAAAACAGTCTGTTTTACTGCAAACTTAATGTTCGAAATCAATAGAGTATACAAGTTTATTATACTTACATAATTTTGATGAATTTTAAGAAATATAAACAAGCATAAGAATATATTGTAAACATTTTTTATATAAACTTCACGAGAAAGTTACAAAGTATGAATACTATACAACTTATAAGTATTTTTAGAAAGTTTCCTTTAAATATATTAGATTTATCTTGATGTTTTATATAATTTAGACATTAGTGTCATTAATTAAATATCTATAATATTTAACGAGGATAATAAACGTCGATATTACTGATTTTAAACATTAATTATGTTTTATTTAATTTATATAAAATTTTAATAAAATATTTAATTTATATAAAATTTTAATATCTTGAAAAAATAATTTTAATAATATACGTAGATTTTTATTACATTCTAGCCATTATTTTGTTCGTAATATTTTTTAAATATAAAAGTCTTATATATATTCGGGTGTAAATCGATCGTGTTAATTCAAAGTAACTAAGCAGTAGCTAAGTGCGGTATGTGAAAAGCGTGAGATTGCGAATGCTGTGTGCGTAAATGGTTCAAAGAAATGCCTGTTATAAAACTTTTTTACATATGAAGTATATATAAGTATTGTAAATATTCAATATTAGTGATTAAAATTGAAGAACATATAATGTAAGTATCATCAACAATCTCAGTAAAGTATTCCATTCCAGGTTATGTTTCTAGGTTATGTTTATTATGGTTTCTGTGTATTTTGTAACAATATTATTAGCTTTTTCATTTTTCTTGATAGATCATTACTTATAGAATTAAAATCTCAATTTTATTTTTATAATAAACTGTGCAATATATTAATACTAAACGATAGTATTGTAGATTACACATAACCTTATAAAATGTCCGACGACGAGGATTTGATTTACGTGAAGAAACAGAAAACCGTTCACTATGGCTCTTTGGAGGAAGCAGAACGTGTACGGCTCGCAGCTACTGTTGAAGCCACAGATGAAGAAAAAGATGTCACAAATACGAATGATGTTACCAATGCTTCCATATCAACGGGGAATGTACACATTTCTAATGAGTATATGGAGCTCGAAGATGAAATGTCTAAAGATCGTCAGGCGTTATTGGAAGAATTTGAACGTAGGAAGAAGGCCAGACAAATTAATGTTTCTACAGATGACTTGGAAGTAAAGAAGCACTTAAGACAGTTGGGTGAACCAATTTGTCTATTCGGGGAAGGTCCTGCAGATAGAAGAACGAGATTAAGAGAATTGTTCGCTAGTGTCGGTGAGGATGCTATTAAAAAGAAGCACGAGGAAGAAGAGAAACCGTCTCATATCATTGAAAAGGATACAGAGACAACTTGGTATCACGAAGGCCCAGAATCATTGCAAATTGCTAGATCATGGATAGCAAGTAAATCTTAATTATATGATTTTATTTTAAGAAACATTGAAACATTTATTTTTACTTATTTTTGTTGCAATTGTGAACATTATTATACATGTTTACAGCATATTCATTGCCTAGAGCAAAGGCACGGCTGGATAAGGCAAGGCAAGATCTACAATTACCAGCCGCAGCTCGTACAGCGAAAAGACAAGAACTTCTGAAGAAGCTGCAAGCGTTAAGCATTTATTGTTCCCAAATCGGAGATACAAGGCCAATTTCCTTTTGCCAGTTCAGCCCTAATTCAAAGATTCTTGCTACGGCTTCATGGTCAGGCTTATGCAAATTATGGTCTGTACCCGACTGTACTTTGTTGCGCACTTTAAACGGACACGGTTGTAATGTTGGCTGTATTGTTTTTCACCCAAAAGCTACGATAACCGAAGATGTGATAGATGATAATGCAGAGCATACTTGTGTGATGGCATCTTGCGCATCAGATGGTACGATTTATTATATAAATCATATATAAAATTACAAGATATTATTTTACCAAAATGAATGCACTGTAATAGGTACCGTGAAACTCTGGAGCGGCGGCACCGGTACCGAACCATTAGCGGAAGTAGAAGGGCATGAACCGCACAGAGTCTCGAGGATAGCTTTTCATCCATCTGGACGATTCCTCGGCACGTGTTGTTACGATGCGTCTTGGCGATTGTGGGATTTAGAGCAGCAAGCAGAAGTGCTTCATCAAGAGGGTCACGCTAGAGCCTGTCACTGCATCAGGTACATTTCCTCATTGATGATTACTGCATATTAGTCTGTTTTTATTGTATTATATTGACGTGTTTATTCAGTTTTCAGTGTGACGGAAGCGTTTGCGCGACAGGCGGCCACGACTCTTTCGGCAGAGTGTGGGACTTGCGTACCGGTAGATGCATAATGTTTATGGAGGGTCATCTAAAATCCATCTTCGGCATTGATTTTTCACCGAACGGTTTTCATATAGCCACAGCGAGCGAGGATAACGCCTGCAAAATATGGGACTTGCGAAAGAGAAGCTGCATATATACAATACCGGCGCACACCAATTTGCTGTCCGATGTGAAATATCAGAGGATAGAAGGGCAATACTTGATCACTGCATCTTATGATAACACAGCCAAAATTTGGTCCAATAAGACGTGGCAGCCTCTCAAGATGCTACCGGGTCACGATGGAAAGGTCATGTCTGTCGACGTGTCTCCTGATCAGAAGTTTATTGCAACGACTTCATATGACAGAACTTTTAAATTGTGGGCGCCAGAGAGCACTTGAGAGACTTTTTAAGATACATATTTTAGGTATTAAAAAATATATTTTTCTCAATATTTTTTATTTATATCACTCGACCTAAAAAATGATGTATGTTCGTAAAAAACATAATAAAAACATTTGATTTGCTCATCATGTAAATTATAGGAATCTTTTGGATTGAAAATTATCGTATTTATATTGTGATCATTTTTATACAACAGTCTTAATAAAAGTTAATTCCTTTGAAAAAAAAATATATTGCTTATATAAGAGACACATGTTTCACTTGTAAATATGCAGCTGGAAATACGCAAGAATAATATTAACATTTACATTGCGCATTTCAGAAATATATCCTGCGAAATATATCCCGCGTGAAATGGGTCTTATAATTACGTATAAACTTTTGACGTTATTTATAACTAGGGCAGTTGCCCGTTCAATAGGCGCACTGCTATTGTGTTGACATTTATATCGCCCTCAACAAAGAAACGCGAACGCGTTAACTATAGGATCTGAACTCCCTTGCCGGGTTTGTCGAGTACATCTCAAGATGAGTACCGAAAGAGGAACTACTGCTGTTACATTATTAACAAACTTTTGGCGAAATCCTGGAAACGCCAGCGTGCCTTTTAAAACTTTTACTATGAATCTTTTGCATCTTGTACTGACATAATCTCTCTTTGAGATGTATTTTATCTTTCCTCTGTATTTTCTATTTATAAGCTTTTTGATAATTACAAGCTATTAAGCGAAAAATAAAATAACATACTCTGTTTTGAGTAATTAAGGAGTAAATAATTTGTCTCTATTTGAGTAATAATTAATAATAATTTTTAATATTAGTTTATTAATATCAAGAATCTAAAAATATATATTTTGAACATATGCACTTATTCGCAATGTTATAGCTATACCCATATATAGCTGTATAAAACTAATCCAAGTCTACTTCATAAAAATTTTAAAAAATTTATATTTTATAAATATTTTCGTTATTTGTAATAAATCATATTAGAGTATAACAATTTCAATTTTTATTCGATATCATGCGTATCAATACTTGAATCAAATGTAATTTGGTAAAAATATCACTTGAACTTATTTCGATTTATACGTTCCATGTATGTATCGTGCTTTTTCCTTAAAAGAACTCATTTTTATCACCTGACGAACGATTCTAACAATCCCGAGATCATAAAATTTAAAACGATCGATTTATAACGACTCGGTAAGAGGTAAAGGTTGATGAAGCCAAGTTTTATCGCCTCCTTCAGCGAAATCGGCGGCCGCGTGGCCGTCGCCTCTCAGAACCCACTTTGTCGTCAATAGGCCGTCCACTCCTACTGGACCACGCGCGTGGATACGCGCCGTAGAAATACCGACCTTTAAAATAATATTGATTATTGGGATAAAATACATAGCAGATACTTATTATTTTCATTTTGTGAAAAAAATAATATATACAGAATCGTAAAATTTATCACAAATTTTATAAATGGCAATTTTTAACGTTTTTTCTATGAAAATTTAATTAGAAAAACCTCACCTCTGCTCCAAGACCGAATCTATAGCCATCCGCAAATCTAGTACTAGCATTGTGGAACACACAAGCACTGTCCACTTCTCTCTGGAAGTGCGCAGCTGTGTCGGTGTGCTCGGTAACGATAACATCTGTATGACTACTACCGTATTTATGAATGTGGTTGATAGCGTCATCGACATCTGAGACCACCTCTATAGTGCATTCAAGTGCGCCGTACTCGGTCCGCATGCTTTTGGCGGCAGGTGGACCGAAAGTCAATAGTTCTCTTATCTTTGGTCCGGAATTGATTTTCACCTGAAAAGTCGTTCGCGCAACGCGAATGCAGCGTTAGTGTTCGTCAACGTGAAGCTTTGATTGTTACATCGAGGAAAGGAGAGCAATAATTCAACAACTGGCGGTATAAATAATTCTGAGAAAAATTGACAGAGACACTACGTGCCACTAAAATATTTATGTGACGCGTGGAGAAAGTTTTCTCCTGCTCAATGCTTTGCAAAAGACGCGGGCAAAAGTCTTTTCGGGCTTCGCGGAAGCCAATATACGTCCTGAACTTAAGTCGAGCACAAACTTTCCGACATTTTGCGAAAATCCTAGCGAAAATCTTGATGAAAGTTTTGCTTGCGAACGCGAAATACTGTAGCGTGACACTAAATGAGAAACTCGGAAGAAATAAAGATTATTTTCGCTCTTTAATCCTTTGGATTTCGTAGTTTGCTACCGGCAAATCCTTTTAATTCTTTCTTTTTCAAGTAAAAAGTTACAAATTTCCAAGTAAATATATTACTTTTCTTTCCCTTCAAACATTCTCGAGCAAAGTTAACTCACCCCTTCTCTGTGCAGCATGCTGCATATGTCACGGAAAAAGCTGCCGCTCATGAGGCTCTCGTGTATCAGTAACGTTTCCATGGCGTTGCACGCGGCGGGATAATCGCACTTGGCGTCCTTAATAATCCTCATCGCCTTCGTTAGATCCGCGTCCTTGTCGACGTAAACATGACAGATGCCCTCGGCGTGTCCCAACACGGGTATATGCTTAGACTGCTCTTGAATCGTGGAGACCAGCTCCGAGCTGCCGCGGGGGATGATGAGATCTATGTGCTTCTCCATCGAGAGAAGATCTCCCACATCTTCTCTCGTGGACACGAGTGAAATGGCGTTCGAGGCGCCGAACTTGTCCAATGCCTCTTTTACAAGCGTCATCAGGTACTTATTGCTGTGAGCGGCTTCCTTGCCGCCTTTCAGGAGAAGCCCGTTGGCGCTCGACATGGCCAGGGCGGCTACCTGCGGCAGGCTGTCCGGTCTGGATTCGAAGATTACCAACAGCACGCCGATGGGTACCGTAATCTGTTGCAGTTCCAATCCCTCGGCCAGCCTCGTCCTGCGCAGCACACGGCCCACATTGGTCAGTGAGTCGTCGGCGATCTGACGCAGTCCGGAGCTCAGAGACTTGAGCTTCGGCGGTGTCAGAGATAAACGCGAAAGCAGTGCTTTCGCCAGACTCTTTTTGCTCGCGGCTTCCAGGTCCAGTGCGTTTGCCGTGAGGATTTCAGACTGTCTTGTCTCTAGCAGGTCCGCGAGAGTTTTGATGCATTCGGCACGTTCTTCCGGGCGTAACGCCTGCAGCAATCTACTGCCGACACGGGCTGGAATTTTATTTGCAATTGTGATTTTCCCGCCGTTATCAGAATGATTAAATAACAAATTAAATTCTCATTTAGATAGCCTTCCTCATCCGTTGTAATTAACTTGCTTAGATTTTTATTTGTTCGCGTCCGCTTAATTGTAATTATATTATATGAAAATATGAAATTATTCTCGCATACATAATATTTCGTATACATCGAATGAAGATTTAGCGGGGAATAAAACTTTTCCACGCTGAAAGGGTTAATAATATGCAAAACACGCGTTCGCGTAGCGAGTGGTATTTATTTCAGAGTGATATATTCGCCGAGTGTACAACCGGCACTGCAATTCAATGGATCGCGGTTCGTTTACGGAGATAAAAGCGCGTTTCGGCGAAGCTAAAAAGCTAATAAAAACAGACTGCACAACGGGGATTATAATCCAGCAACAAACTCCGTAATTTCGCGTGAGCGCGGCTCAATCAATCATCTATCTGCATATCAATCATCTATCGCGGGGGAGATTCTCTTAATCCGAAACTGAATCGAAATTGAAGGTATTACCGTTTTCGGCGACCACCTCGACGGGAGTGGACGAGCCAGCTGCCTGCGTGAAGAAGGTCCCGATCTTCCTGCCCGACATGATGCTCTTGATAGCTTTCTCCTGAGTGCCGTTGCAGATGACCACCGCAACACCGCGATCCATCGCCCAGAGAGCGGCGTTGACCTTTGAGTCCATGCCGCCGGTGCCCACCTTCGACTTCTGTCCGAATTTGATGGTACCCCGCAGATCGGAGCTGAAGGTGTGCAGCATCCTCGCGCCGTCCTGCCAAGGCGGCAGGTTGTAAATCCCATCGACGTCGCTCATAAGCACCAGCAAATCCGCCTGTACCTCGGCCGCCAGCATTGCCGCCAGCGAATCATTGTCCTTGATGGATATTCCGCGTCTGCCGCTACCGCCGGCGACCTCGTCGTCGACATCCGGCGGCGGTGAGACCGCATCATTCGTGTTAATGATCGGCACGATGTTTAGACTGATCAGCTCGCTCAACGTGCTGAAGAGATTCTTCCGCGTCTCGTCGTTATAAAAGTCGGGCTTGGTCACCAGCACCTGGGCGATCTTGACACCGTACTGAGCGAACATTGCGTCGTATAGAGACATGAGACCCGACTGGCCCACAGCTGCGGCTGCTCTAGGTTCCAGCATAGTTCCTGCGTGAATACAGCATTGTAAATTACCATTTTCTATTTTTTCCTCGGGGAAAAGCGTAGCGACCTGTCGGCGCAACGCGGACGATTCTCGAAATGGTTAGAGGGCTTCGTGGAAGACGTCGAACGACTGATTGGGGAGATATTGAAGAAAATTGTCCGCAAACGCACACGAACCGATCGGAAAATCCACTCGAGATGATTTCCGGGACAAATAGAATCCCGCAGGAATTCGTCGCGACGAGCAGGTTGTTAGCTCAACCTACATTGACGGATCCCGGACATTGTCAATTTGGCAGACTGCCCGGACAAATATTCGGAACTATTGTCAGAACACTTCCTTTTTTATAAAATCTAAACTGTTACTTCTTATTTAAGAAAGGAGAATACAATCTCGGTAGTTAAACAGCGCGTTGTTTACAACATTAAAGACGCTTCTTACGCAAATACTGCAAATTTCAGACATTTTCAGAAATTATTCTTCCCTTATAGCTCTTTAATAACTGAATAAATATTAAAATACGTAGTAAGAGGATTTGTCGTTCTCTCCATAAAAATATTAGCGTCCCATGAATTGTTTACGCCATGCTGTCTTTACTGTCCGCGTATAAATCAATGAATCATTAGTGAGGGATAGCCTTGATTGTAATATCAACAAGAGTATTTCTATCGTGTATACGAGCGGAAAAGAAATTCGTTACCGAAGAACTTTCGTCGTTATTTTATCGTCTTTATTTTTAATTAATGCGTAATTTATTCTGCGTCTTGTCGATGATGAAATTTTGTCATGCTTCATCAAATTAATACCTATTCACATATTATTCTCAATAAATAAATAAATAAAAATACTTTTTAAAATAGTATCTATCTTAAAATCGACACATTTTACGTTTTACGCGTCATTTTATGCACGCATCTAATTGATCGTAATTTCCGATTTTAAGCTATATCGACAGTTACACATGCATGAAACTTTACTTTGTCATCGGATGCAGATGCGCGGTAAAAATTGCACGATACATAATTACCGCGTTTGTCAATTATGTAGAGTACAATTTCTTTATACATCACACTGTAGCGTAATTAGAATTATGAGAGCGCTATTGATTAAAAACGCTATTCGATCGGACGTCTCTCAGAAGAGGATTAACACAAATTGCGGTTTGGCTACAAAATTATCATACACCGGCTTCAATTATGCTAATGGTAGTTCATCCGTGTACTTATGTATAAAATTTGTCTCCCGCCATTAGCGCATGAAAATATTAATTAAAGGGAGCATCTGCTGGATGCGTCGTTGCTACGATATCGTGGTTCGATCAACGTGTGTAAGAAAATGTGAAATTGATAGAGGAATATGCCGCGCCAATTACGTCCGACACTGACGCAATGCCTTGTCTTGCGGGAAGAGTAAAGGAGGCGAGGTTCATTACTTACAAAATAGGTCAAGTTGAATTTAGGGAGTTTGCGATCAATAGCCTTTGCGTATGGGAGATTGCAAGGTAGGGTACGTTCTTACGCGATTATGCGGCTCACTGCTGATGGAATTCGGAAAATGTTGCGGTAACTAACTATTCGACGGCAATTAATTTTTAAACAAAAACCGATCACATAAAGTTCTTAACGAATCATGGATCGATCATAGGAATTTGTGCGCACTTTATAATTATTTTTATTGCGAAATTAATTTTTATATACTAAAATTAAATATTAAATTAATAGGCTGACTACTATTTTATTGAGCTTTACGGGCCGTGATTAATTTTCGATTAATCTGGGGAAGATCAAAGGTTGCGATAGTTAAAAAAAAACATACCCGCGTGTTCCCGTGTGTGATCCGTAGGACTTAGCGTTTCTCTCATCGACATGGACATTAAAAGCTCTTGGGTCAGCTTTTGCTTGCCAAAAGCGACTGCACCGCTGGTCACCATGATGCATTCGCGTCCATCGATCTGACATTCGGCTACCTGTTCTACGATCGATGCCAAACGTCCTAGAGCCAAACCGTGTTCATCTTCCCTCGTAATAACGGCACTGCCGAGTTTAATGACCAACCGACGAGCGTATTTCAATTCGGTGCGCTCCGCAAAGGTCTGTTGCCTTCGCGGTCTCTCCGACGTTTGCAGTTGCCTGCGCACATATCCTTGCAATACGCCTTTCTTCTTAAAAAACAATTAATGACAAATAAGATAAAATTATAATACAGAAAAGCTATACAAGAATAAAATAAAATTTTAAATTATTATAGAAAACTGGTTTATTTTACTGCATTAATCCTTCCAATCTCGATCATATGTGACACACAAATTTAAAACAAAACTGACTCTTATAATTATTTATTTATTTAAGTGATTTTTTCACAAAAATTAAATCTTACAGTTGTTTCGCTATAAAGATAGTAATTAAAGATAATAATTAATAATGTGCACTGTAAAACTAATTTTTTTAATAATGCAATCTGAATGAGAGATTCAAAAGATGCCTGACAAATATTTATTAAATAAGTAATTATTATCATACTTTCTATATTTTATGACACAAAGAGATTTAGCATTATTGAACAGTTCAACGGAGTTTCAGTTCTTCGCAACAAGTTATAAAGTTATAATACGAAGATATAATATTAATATCTCTGTCAATATCTGTCAAAGGATAAGGAAGAGAAGACTGAAGCTGGTAAATTCATGTTTGGACAAAACACATTTATTTCAATACGTTCATGTGGTGTGCCTAACAAAATTTGCCATAATATTCGAAAGCCGATTACATCTGTGAGTTGACTAATATTTCTTCTTCCTTTCGAAGAAGTAAGTGGTATTTTCCAAGCGTTATTTCAGCACAAGATTATCATAGCCTCTTATCGCTTTATATTTCCTACGTCGATGTTGACTCATCGGGCATGTTTACATTTATAGATACAGTATAGAATGGAGAGGAATTTCAGTGTTAAATATTAGAAACGTTACTTCTTCGCTATCTTTTCTAATAAACATTCGAAACTTAATTAAATATTGCAGTTTTTCCGAGAAGTCGTGCCAATGTAGAAAACAGAAATAAATCAAAGAATTATATTTAACAGATATTTTATCGCGTATCACGCAAGCGGTTTGATTTGATAATAGCTTTAATTGAGATATACCGGTATATTCTGCCTCTTTCTTACATTGATAGCGCAGCAAAAAAATGATTTTATATTAATAAATTATATTTATTAACGAATGATAACGTTCATATCAACAGTGTATATTTGCTTGCGATTTGTCTGTGTGGCTTTTCTTCCTAATATTTCTTTCTTTTATCATTACTTGCGAGTGTAAATTCACATTAACAAAGAAGGATATTCGAAGTGACTTTTCACGGACAAACTCGTTTTCGACAACACAATTCGAAATATTGAGATTTCGAAATTATTTATCAGGGTTATTTCGTTACGAGATTGCTGATTATATTGTGCGTTTTAAATTGTAAATATACTTTTATCTTCGCGTTTTATTTTTTGATTAATTCCTGATTGAGCAGAGTTCAAGAGAGCGTAATTCTCTACACGTGTATTTGCCGATACGCAATTTCATTTGCGGAAATTGTTGAGCACACGAGCAAACTTTGTGCGAAAGTTTCTTGTGATTTTTTTTTTAAGTCGATGCTTCGTGACGTGACAGAACAAGTTAGACTTACACGGCTCCGGAACGCTGTTATTATTACGGACAGGTCAATCACGTGGCGATACTGTACGTGACACATAATAAATACTGTTTTGTAGCAACGGACTTTCTCGGATAATTTTTCATTTCGCGCTTCTCTTTCTCCGCTCCGATCCCTTTTTTATATTTCATTGTAGATTTAATTATTAGGTAGACTTAACCGATATTTGCAATCCATCTCCCGTTGATGCATTTTGCAGCGTTCTATGTGGCGAATATGCGTTTAGCGGAATACGCTGTGCATCAATACCTATACGCGTTATCACCGCGGCGCATCGCGTGCTGCACTATCAGCGGTCTGACTCGGTTACGCGAAACACTTACACCAGCATACCGATACCCCCTATAAACTGTATCAGCTATTGGCGGAATCAGTTATTTTTCGAGTTTGGGCTTTGTGTATGCGCGTCGGTCGATAGCGGACGACGACGGGGGCGTTCGTTTTCACGAAGTTTCGTCAACGCGCGACCAGGTATCTGTTGCAGCGCGCGCGATAACATATGGAGCTCGTTACACGTCACGTTATATCTTAACGGCGTTTCGAAGTCGCGTCGGAATCATTATACTCAGCGGTCGCGGCGGTACATCGCGGTGGTACATCGGTACCATCGGCCACGTCCCTACGTAATCGACCCATAACTTGGGAACGACCTGTAAAGAAGTTTGTTTGGCCGCGCAGCCGAACGTACCTTGTATATTTCACATAAAATCATGTTATCGCAGTTTCTCGGATTTACGACCCGTCGCATCCCGGACAATGTTATCTGGGATGCAAACCTCCTCGACGGCAAATAAGTACGACGTTACAAGTACGAAGTCATACACAATGCTTCACGTACTGTTAGCTGCGGTAAGCGCAGTCCCATGAGCGACGAGGTCAATCTCCGTTGCGAGTGCCCGACTCGGACGGATCTTGTTAGTAACAGGATCGAGTACATGTTGCTGGTCCTCCGGTGTCGTCCTTCGGTGCACGTTTAGTCGGCTGCCTCCTTCCGGAATGACACCGGGATCGCTTGGAACTATGCGTCCGAAATTACGATCACCCGACGATGTTCATCGAGTGCTTCCTACAGCAATCGCCGTAGGAACGCTGACTTCCCGATCAGATCGCGCGAGAAAGATTGATCATCTGGCGCGGCGATACAGCGAGAAAAATAGATGTCACGATGTGTGTTCGATCACGTGATGACAAATCCGTCAATCCGGTGGAAAAATGTCAACGCAACGCCAAATGGTGTGACTTAATTGAACTACCGATTTCGTGTTGGATAGGAAAAAATGAAGAGAGACAAAGGATAAAGAGGGAAAGAGAGAGAAAGAGAGAATCGCGCGCGATGCGAAGCGAGACGTGCCTCGTCACCGAGGTAGAGCGCCTGCAGCGTTGGTCAACGACATACTACTGCTTTCCGCGTGAAATCACATCAGAAGACGTTGTTATCATAGCCAGATTAGAGACGCGTCGTCTCAAGTAAACGGACTACTTATACAGCGACGGCATTCGCCGCCGGGAGAGAAGGCCAGAGGGAAGAATTCTGTGGAAATCAAATGACGTCAGGCACGCGCGCGTTCTTCTTTGGTCGGATTCCACTGGTTTTTCGCGCATTTCCCAGCCGGAGTACCAAGGCTACGAAGTGAAGTCCGGGTTCACACGCGCAGGGGAAAAAACCCGTCTTCGTACAATGATGCAATTCGAGTCGACAAACTTCGACCCCGAGAATGGCGAACAAACAGCCAGCGCCTGATAACGCGTTCATTCTTTTCCGATGCGTCGCGTCACGGTGTGAGTGAGTCTCGATCTCTATCCGATAAAGCGATCGAACGTTGCACGAGTGAAGCGGTATTCCGTGCGTGTGTTATCGCGCGACAGTGTGGATGTGCGTAATGCAATGTTTACCGCGTGTGCGATGTTGTGTTTCTTGTTTTTGCACGGAATGCTAATTGGCGATAATTAGCGCGGTATCGCTAGTCATCGCGGATATCTCTAGGCGATACGGAAAGATCTATCACGTTGACAACGTGTGTCACAAGGCGTAGTCCGCCACTCGAGCTTTAACAGATTCTTATCGGATTTTGTAATTGACTGCGTGTCATTACGTCACACATAACGTGATACTTCGTATTTATGCGTGTCTTATTTGGCGCACGCGATAAATGCATTCACAAACACACGCGCGGCGCTTGTTAAAAGTCCATTCGCTCTTTTTGCAATCTCTCCGATCGACGATAAATGTCAAATCTTGTTTTTACTTGTGATTACTCTGTCGCCGCGCTCACAATTGTTGCGAACACAAATCCCTCTCGTTTGTAATCTCTGCAAAATACGGACTTCAGATGGAAAAAGAATTACCCGTGGGAAAATCATTGGAGAGCAGTGGAAAGTGGCAAAATAAGAAAAATGCAGCTACTCAGATATTTTGCAGATAGATGGATACTTCGCAGATGTATACATCTTCTCTTCTTCAATACATTTAGAACTTATCTTCCGTATTTAAACCAATAACACGCGACGCACCTTACAGCAAATATAACAGCGTAATCTACAAGTCACAGATCTGATTTGAATTTCCTGAATTTTTATATTCAATACCATAAATAGCAAAATTATTAAGTACATTCTTTATTGTTCAACAAGAAATTATCCATTTAAAGAATCGATATCGGTAAAGCTAATAATAGTGCAAATTCGTACATAAATAATGCGAACAGAAGAGAAAGTTGTAAGAGAAAAAAGTTTATCAATAAATAAATTCATTGATGAAGAAACACATTATAACAAAACGGCTGTCGAGTAAATAATCGAAAAGTATCTTCTTGTTTCTACTTTTAACTTACAAATAATCCTCTTTAGAATTCTCTGTTGCAAGCGGCTTGTGCAAGCTGAATGAAAGCTTGTAGAAGAAAGTATAATAGGAATATTTTAACAATGCTCAGCCCGATTGAGTCGTTCCAACCACATTCTTCTTTACACAATATATAATCCCCTAATAAATTCCTGCGAATCCCTTTCAGCTTATATTTATTAATAGACTCGCTAATGACTTCAATGAATAAACTTACACTCTGCAAAGACATATTTCCTGTAACTCTAGTAACTTCGATCCTTGTACACAAGGTACCTTAGTAATAAGAGACATTCTTAATCACGCATATTTGCTTTGCAGTGAAGCAATTAAATAAGGATTTTTATAATAAATCAATTTCACAATATTTTTCTCGGTCAAAGTAGAATTTTTTTCTCTATAGATTTATAAATATTTTTAATTAAAATATATCGAGAGATGCACGTTCAGCTATTGTTTCCAATAAATTTCCGATACATTATAAGTCGTATGAATGATAGTAGACGCTTAGCCGTATACTAATATTGATATCTAGTGCATCCTCATCATTATTAAACGTATTGTATGTGCGGAACTATCTATTCGTTATTGTCAACGATCTGTCTCGATTGATAATACAGCGTTTGAATATCCTTCGACGGTTTACTTGGTAGTATCGATTTATCTATTACACGGCGCCTGTTGGACAATGAAGATTGAAAGCTATTTACACGCCCTGCGCATACGTTATTGGAGATAAGGAGGCAAGATAATTTCATATCCCATTTCGCATTCAGAATATAAATCTCGCGTGATTCGATTTATAACACTGATTTCCGCCGGAAACTCGACAGACACGGTCAAAACAATCGTGTTTGTTTTGATTTTACTATAAATATCTTTTTGATGCCGAAAAAAACTTTGACAAAGTATAAATTCATACTAATTCATACGAAGTATGTTAGCGTAGGAATAAATTGGATATAAATATCTTGTATTTTGATAGAATATTTGATAAGTTGGTTTTGGGTATTAACATAGTAATTAGGAAGTTTTCTCGCAGCGTCAAATACTTAAATAGTGCTTGCTATATCGTCTACAATAAAGTTTGAAACTTCACTGTACTACACGACATATACTCATGTTGCAAAATGAGATAATTTTAAGCAGATTTCGCTTCAACAGAATTTTGATCAAGATATTAATTTAATTTAAACATTAGTTCACTTTAAATATTAGTCCAATTTCAATATTAATTATTTAATCTTAATTTATTCAACTGCAATATTGATGATTTTTCAATCATCAATATTGCAGAGAAAAAAAACAGCGATAAATCAAATTTTTATTTATGGCAAGTAAATCTATGTCAAGATAATCAACAGTTTTTCGGCTAAACGACCTTGATTCTATCACGACCGGAGGAGGGAGGTACATCATTTACACATTACTGCAATAAAGATAATGCACTTATTCACGCTCCCAGCTATCTACTGCCGAGTAATTAAAACTCAGATAAAAAGCTCGACGCGACTGCAATGTAAAGAATAGCATCTCGCGCATTTCCAAGTAGCATTATCAAATTGAATCGACGCTCCGGCCGCTGTTAAACCGCGGCGCAACATCGGTGAACAAAAATAAAACAAAAAAAAGAACGATCCGCCGAAGAGAAAAAACGATCGAGCGACCGAGCGTGAGGGTTAACGACATCCGACAAGAAGTTTCTGCACCGGAATGATATCGCGAGGCGGAAAAGCGAAAGGGGGAGGGAGGGGAGGGGAGGAGGGAGGGAGAGTGAGAGAAGAGAGGGACAGGTGTCAAGCAGCAGAGGCGCGCGCGGCGCATTTTACAAAATGCCTCCCCTTCCTTTTGTCCCTTTTTTCCACCCTGCTTGCAGCATCCCCCTTCGCTGGTCTCTTTAACTATCTCGTTTTTACCCTTCTGCTGGATCTCTCTTCGTCTCGCTCGCCCGCGGAAAGCAAGAGAGAGCGTTTTCGCGTTCGACGAAGGCCTGCGCAGAGCGGCGGAGCGCTCAAACGATGAACAGCATCGGACTGACGACGGCAGCGGCGGCGTCGTCAGTCGTCGTGAGGGTGCGTGGGAGAGCGTCAGCGAGAGGAAGGAGGACCGAGGGAGGCTGCGAGGCAGCGCGCGCGTGCGAGAGGGTGCGCGACAGCCGGCGATCCGAGAAAGAAGGCGCGACACGTCGAAGCGGGTGCAACGGAGGGGTGGCGGAGAGAGAAGCGCGTTCGCGTCTTTTCGACGTCGACGCAACCGGGTTGGCGCAGAATAGCTGCTCAGTGCTCGTCGAACGGCGCCGCGCTGCGACGGGATCATGCCGCCGCGCCCTGCGCCACCGATCGACCGATCTCAGGTACGCGAGAGAGAGAGATTAATTGTCCAGCGAAGCGCGAGAACGGGGACAACCCTTCGTTCCCGGTCGCGAGTTCGACGCGGGCGAGCCGCGAGTTCTCGCGTCGCTCCGCACCGCGAGATCTCGCGCGCGGAATCGCGACGATCGCGGGGTTCACATTCGCGATAAGTACACGCGTGGCGAAAGCGGTTTTTGGTCCTCGGGACGGTTCTTGGTCTGCCGATCGCGTTGATGCACCGGCGGTCGCGGCGAGGAGAATCGCGCACGACGATCGTAAGAAACGCGCGAGCTACGCGAGCATCTCCTCCCATGATGCGTGCTCCATGAGTGCAGATCTTACGCGATCGCAGGTCTCTTAAGAGGGTGTCCTCCCGTCAGAATCTTCGATATCCCTCCCGTGATCGATCGCGGGATCATTCGTGTCGGAGAACAGAGCGGAAGTATCGAGCATTCGATAGCGCACGTATTCCCGCGAGTTCCCGCGATATGTTCCGCCGCGAGCTTCCGGCCCCGATCCGTTTGCTCCGTAGCACAAGTTATCCGGTATGGTTAGGTGGGTAACGAGGGAAAACGAGTCCCTTCGTAATTTGCCCCATTATTTCCCCGGGGGATGCCGTGATCTCACCGCCGGCAATCCATATCCGCGACTTCAAACGTGTGTTATAAATTGGTGGCACTTCGCTCATTGCCAGCGATCGCTCCAACTTGCAATCCCTCGAGGATACGATGATCGAGATTCGGTTGCATTGGACTGCGTTAACTCTTTCTCAAGTGGTCTTTCTCAACTTGTTCATTTCTCGCTCAATAGTCCATGTAGAATCCACACCGCCGATACAGATAAGACGGTAATCCGGGAGAGATTTACCGCCAGTACACCCAGATTGCAATTTAATTCCAGTTATCCCGAGAGTGTTCTAAGCGGATTTCTCATCGATATTGTCTGTTGGCGTTATCAGATGCGAAATGACTTATTGCTCGTCGGTGCAAGGCCGAGTCTTTCTCGATAGATCGGAAGTTGAATCGAGTTTTCCCCGCGGGTCCATTCTCCCGTCCATCGAAACGATCGCTTGATTCGGCAAATGTTACGGGAGTACGCGTGTTTCGAACATACACTCGCTGCAAAATTGTTACGCGTCTCGCGAGAGCTTTTACGCGAGCATATCCAAGATACGCCGCGACGTAAAAGTAGTTAGAGCGCATCTTTGATCAGACACTGGCCCACTAGTCGGACAATGCTATCCATTCTTTGGCTCTTCAATTCGCGCGAGACGCTGTTAAAATATTTTTCGACGTTTTCCCGCGAGTAGAGTAGGAAATGAAACGTGCTATCAAATTACGAATAGCTTTTAACAGGAATTTAGAATTGCCGCAAAAAAGTACGATTGCTAGCTTATTCTAGCAAAAATATTATTTTGAAAAACAGTGTTGCAATTTTCATTGATAAAGTATAATTGAATGGTTTGTTCGCTGAATACATATTGACGACTGAAATGTCCGAAATAAATTTCATTACAAGGCACACACATTTTTCTATCATTTGAAAATATTTATATAATATTAGACTTTTATTGTCGTAATACACATTTTGTTTAAATTTCACACCTTTCATAAAAAATGGTTTGATCCCGACAGTGATTTAAAATCGGTTTAAATTTCCGACAAAATGTGAGTGTTCAAATAAATCAGAGAATATTTTAAAGAGATACATATATTGCAGGTATGCAATTTATATATTTACTAGTGATAACGAATTTATGGCGGTGCTTCGATTATGTAACATTTGTAATTTCGTTTATTTGTATTAATATTATTTAGAGTAATATTTCATTTAATTTATATTTTATACGTTTAAATTGTTGATCACCGCATTGCACGAATGGCAAATCAAAATTTAAAATTATTAAATTATTGAAATTATATTATACATATTATAGAAGATATAAATATATAATATGTTATGGAAAATTATATTATACATATTACGTGGCAGATATAATTTGCATTGTTCCGAAATTATGTCCGATCCGTTGTTCCGCATAATTTTTCACACACCTCATTTGCACCTTTTCGCAAAATAGATATTGCTAGAAACACGATTTTTTTTTTTATACTGAAAGCAATGTTATTTACGGCTGTTTACAAATACTTGCGTAGGCGGTATGCACGAAGACACAATATATCTGCGCGTGTGTGTCAATTCTAGTGTCTTAATCAAGATGCAGATTTGTTTGCTCGTGCGATTGAGATATCCATCTTTGTACGCCGCAATTGGATTGCGACGGTTTTTAGGTCCATCACGCTGACGAAGCGCGCTCCATGGCGACGGAGATGCTCGACGTGCGCTGGTACGTTAGTGAATTTTCGCCGTACAGGAAAGAGGCATAGGTTATTGATTATCGTGAATGGCTTTATAAATAACCGATCGTGTAGGAGCACCCGCCGGAGACGCGTAAATATCGCTCGGCAAGTCGTTTTTTAAAATCGCTAGCGACATCGCTTCGTTGCCCGATGGCACGGAATCGTAGACACTTATGATCGAAGAACGTATCGATATACGTATCGCGAATGATTCTTGTCATATTTTTTTCGAGTTCGGGAAAATTGCTACCAAGTCGTACCAGTGGAAAATAAAATCACATGCATATTTTGTTTAAAGTAGTAAATTAAATCGCGAACCAGAAGGAATTTATTTCAGCAAAATTGAATCGACCCTTCAAAAAATCAGAAATTGGTTTTAAAATGTGCGCATTCCCCAAGGCTATAAATGACCTGTTTCGACATACCATTCGCATGCAATAAAATAACTTTGTTAAATATTTCATAAATTCTCTTTTATTCAATTTTATTAATAAACAGCCGCGTGATTTAATCTGAATGTATCTTGTATCTCCGGTAAAAATGTACACCGTGAGAAGATTTGTTAAATTTTCCATCTGTTTATTAATTTACGGGCCGAAAAAGGAAGTTTGTGCAGAACGTTTTAAAACTCTGTTTATGCATGCGAAAAGAAAACGTAGTTTAGTTCGATGTGGAATAAAAGAAAAGTTGCTGAGAAAGTAAAGGAGTTGTAGATTTACTTTTTATTTCTTTGCTTGCCCCTCACGTTTAATTAATAAAATGTTAGACTTTTTTATGGCGCTTTCATGAAAAATTCTTACAATTTTCCGCTGTTTTTGCTTGTGAGAGACCCGGATATCGCGATCGATTAAGGTATGTTCTTTCAAATTGCTAAAGGTACTGATGCGCAATATATAGGACGGCGTTAATAGATTGACCGGAAGCGAGTCGTCCATTGTACCCGTGCGGACTCTCTTCTGTGTGAATAATCCTTTAATACGAGTACGAGTGGCGATTCAATATCGTAGATAAATGAAAATTGTTGTGCACACGATAGTGGTTATCATTCATCCTCAAATCCAGCGTCTGTCTTTTGTTGGAGATTAAGAGATCTAATTATACGTTTCTGGTTTGTTGCTATTGCGATGTCGATCAATCTCATTGCTTTCATTAATATTAATTATTCGACAGCTTATAAGAAACGTGAGAAGATTCATGTATCCTGCTCGAACGGGATCAATAAGCGTGCAGCGGTTTTCAGTACGTGACTTGGCGTAAACTGAAATTATAAAAAATCGACCTTACAACTTCAGCAACTTAAATTACATTCGCATCGGATCATCTGCGCTTCCATTATCCCTCGCAAAATGGAAATGTCAAAGGCTGCGTCCTAGTGGAAGTAAAAGAAAAGTTTGCAAGTAAAAGCGTTGCTTACGATTTTTTTTTCTTTATAGAGATTTATCATCATTGGGATGCGGAATATAAGTTTAATTACGATATATCGCCGTATTGCGCCGATAACGAGAAAACATATGGTTATTTACGTGACATCTTAAATTAAGACGTTCCATCGTGTGTTTCATGTGTTCTCGAAATAACATATCACCAATATATATTTTCATCATAAATACGACCGCTCGATAAATGTCAGGATATCATTTTTTTCTATAATTCTAGAACGGATATTAATGAAGAAACATTGTGGTAACGTTGATTGAAAAACGCCAACTGCAAAACGTGGTATGCTGTCAACGCGATATTTACTTAAAAAAAAACCGAGTAATTATAAAATTAATTGCGAGCTATACTGCCTTTGGTATTTCTTTTCGCGCAACTTCGCATTAAATAATTTTGATACAAGAAAGAAAATAAACCTCCTGCGGGAATGTCTTTATCGAAAAATATAACGACACTGAAACATAAATTGATCTTGATTGAGACAAATGAAGACATTTGGACAATCAAGTGTGTAGATAGAAAATCTTGCTACGCAATTTGACTCAGTCACTTGTAACTCTAATGATCGTACGTTAAGGGGGTATTCCTCTCTAGAGTGCTGTTTTAGAGGTAATTTTTAGAATAGAATAAACAAAAAACTGTTCGAGTTTTCTTTTTGCAATTTTTTATACATATTAATTGGTGTTTTGAAAACATTAATAAATTGTGTAGGAAAAAAAAAATTTTTTTTAGATATAGTTTTGTGCGCTCGGGCACAATGATACGCGGAAAACAGCCCTGACTGACAACCAGTGTTGCGGACGTTGTATGTATTTGAAAAAAATAAACCAAACATATTCTTAATCTGTATAAGTGTAGTAAGGGTTGGTAGCAGATTTGGCTAGAAAAAAACTTTTTTGACAAAATGGCGGCATGCTAAACGTTTATTATCGATTTTTCCTACGTTTTTTCCTCTTCAGCGAGTCATTAAAAAAAAAAATATTTTTTATTTCGACTCAATTCTGCTACCAACGTTCAAAAACAGTCTACTGAAGATATATATTAAATTTAAGCTGAATCGGCCAATTGGTTGTCAAGATATTGTGGTTGCCGATTTGAAAAACATAGTTTTGAGAAAAACACGTTTAAAGTTTTCGTACCGTATTGATAAGGTTTAAATCTAATTATTGATATTTACTATAACTCAGCCAATTTTACGAATTTTA